GTATTTATGAACGGGAATAAAGATGTGCTTGGCCGGTATTAAACAAGTACGATTAAAACTGGCTAAGGGCCTGGACGCAGACAATGGCCAGAGCCGAAGGCGAGGGTCATTACCCGCGTCCATGCAGCACAATAGGTTTCCAAAGAAGTACAATAGGTTTCCAAATATAAATTTGTAACCAAATGCCTGTATACAACTGGCACTGGCAGCCCATTGGAGCTACAACAGGCCCAAGGCCAGGTCATTGAACTTGTCCGCAAGCAATAGACCTTGGTTGGAGCATTGGAGGTCCTTGAAGCCAGCTTGCCTCAAATACCACCTGTCTCATTCTCAAGGCCTGCTGGCCAGTCATGCAGTTCCTGTCATCATTTTGTAGGGATCTGTCTTGTCAAGTCCAGCAACTCCGGGATAGCAAAAAAACAATGCTTGAAGGCCCAACAATTCATATGGTACATCCGTATAACACGTGTCACCACTTTGGGGCAGCATAATTGTGATTTGACAAATTTTGGAATTTTGAAGTTATTCAATTTGACAACTGCCGCAACTGCCTTTTGTGTGGACGTTCAGCAGCAATCTGGACAGAAGCTTAGTAAAATGAAACTGTAACTGCATTTACCTTGGCTATAGTGCAATCATGATTGTCGAACACTCATCTAAAAAGGAGCAACGCACTTTTAGAGACATACATACGTGCAAATGTACTATTTGATCGCCCATATCAGTTTAAGTTATCAGGTTTTATTTTCCATTGTTTTAGATAAGTGCTACCCATGCAAGGTTAAACAGAACAATGACATCTCTTAGATCTGGGCCCAATTTCACGGTTCTGCAGTAGTTAGCAAAAAATCCCAATTACCGTAGCAGAAAATGTCCAGCTTAGGCCAAAAAAAAAAAGTCTCCGGTTTCTGGTATGCGCGCGCGTCGCCGTAGCCATGCGCGTCGGCAAAATGAAAAAGGTTTTTTTTTCAATAAAAGATGATGTCTCAAAACCTCCAAACTCACTGGTTTGACTGGAATTCTGCTGCTGCACAATTTCAACGTGTTTTTAGATGGGGTTATGATCGAGAATAAGCTTTATGTGGCCTCTCTGGACTCCCATATATTTGCACTAAGTTTAAACGTGCACCATTTGCAGTCATCAGCCGACATTTGAAGCCAAAAAAAAAAAAAAAAAAACAGGTAAAAAAAATAATAAAAAGCCGCGTCGCCGCACCACTTTTGGGGCAAGCTCCATACCAGAAACCGGAGACTTTTTTTGTTTGGCCTTAAGGTTGGTACCGGTATATTTTATGGGTTGCTGAGGAATTGTTGGCTTACGTGTACACCCAAACGTGTTCTCACCGTCGAGCGTGGACATCCTATTGTCCCTCTTTTGTTTGTACTTTTTCAGAGACCCCCATGGGTTTTGTACACGACCCCAATCGCGGACGTATGCTTGGAATCGTGGACGATATCGTTCTCTTTTGTTCTCTAGTATTTTTCGTCCACGGTTTGAAAAGATGAACACGTACATGTATACTGTGTACATCCCTTAACTAAGGATTCTGTGCTTACATGTACAGGGTTAGCAGATATTTGTTTTGCTAGAGCAGTAAGCACAGAATGGAGATCGTAAGTGCACAATTCTGTGGTTGAATTTGCCAGTTCAGTTTTTTCTGTTCTTATCATATCTCATTGCACAGTACAAATATATTCTCTAAAACCTCTCCCCAGAACATGAAGAGTTTTTCCAAAAACGCGATATATCCATTTTCAAAAAGTGAAAAAATTTGCACATTTATTTTCTCAAAGTTTAAAGAATAACAGCTGTTTCTAAATTTAAATGTTTGCTATATTTTCTTCTTAAAATGTGTTTATATAACTATACCAGTAAAACCCGTCGAAACTGACTTTGGGCAGGCAGGAGAGAGAGGGATTCTAAAAGGTTACAAAATGGAGTCTATCGCGTTTTGGAAATAGTCACTCTTTTTTTACATGTAATAAGATAGTACACAAGCAAGGATGTTTCCCCAATCTTGAAGTTTGGTATCCTGAAATTTGAGCCAAAACTTTCAGACAAAGTAGATAGTCTCAAGATTAATCTCAAAAGATGAAGCCATATTTGTTGCCCATTATCAAGGCATCAGCTGGAGCCGTTGTGACACACATGGACCATCGGGCTGGCGTCTTTTGACTGAGACCCCAAAGCATCAGACTACAGCTGCTCCCCACGATGGCTCCACTGTGTTTTTATTCCGAGGATAAAAATCTGAAAGATAATCATCATCTATACTAATGCAAATATAGATTTCTTCTTCAGGGTCCTGAATTTGTATCGAGTCACAAATATAAATGCCGTGGAAGTTAAAAAAAAAAATTAATGGCAGACACTGTAGATTTGCCCAGCTTCTGTGAGATACACTTATGTAGACTGGATACCTGACCCCATAGAATGAGAACAGGGAACTGCCTCCCAGCTTCTGATTTTTCATTGGTTGCCATCACCCTGAGGCTTCTTCTTACTTGAAGTCTGATTGGTCAAGCTTCTTTGGGAGTGGTGTCCAAAACAGTATTTTTGTGTACATGTTATAAGATGGAATTTTTTAAGATGGAATTTTTGTGCCGGGGTGATATTATTCAAATTAGGTTTTGCCCTTCACCGAAGTTTTTAAACACTGTATACTCAGCGTGTTACCTCCCGAGTGAAAGTTGGAAAAAATCACTCGGGTGGGACTCGAACCCACGACCTCCTGCCTTCTAGTGCAGATGTCTTACATGTCTTGTGTACATGTTAGTGTAAAGTTGACCGTGTGTCAAAGTTCAAGGCAAGAATCTGACTTGATGCTTTGACCACTCCCTGGCTTTAATCCACTGAGATGAAGGCAGTGTCTTGACTATTAGAAATACTTGAACTTCACGATTTTCTTTTTGATTATCTCCTCACAAGGGTTGTGTACCAAAAAATTCAATTTTGTATTTTTCTTTATTCTTTTGTAAAGGAAACGTTTGCTTTGCTAAGTTGCTTTGCTAAGTAACTTTGATATTTTACTGACTATATGTGACCGGCTCCACAAAAAAGGGTATTATGTCGCAAAAAATTATGAAATTGAGTTATATACATGGTTGGAAAGCCCACAATGTAAGCTTTCATTTGGTATATAATAGAGCTCCATGGCCCCTCCCATTTTGGAGATATGACGTATTTGCCTATTAATTACTTCCTTGGAGTTCAAATTACACAACTACATGTACATGTAAGAAAACAGACTTTGAAATAGCTGGCTTTGTTGTAGAACAACAGAACGATGCACACAAAATGGTTGCTTTTTCCACTTTGCTCATTAAAATCAACATTTCTGTGAATGACATCTGAAACTGTGGGTACATGTATTAAAGATGTCATTCATGACCAAAAATGAAAATCACATTTTGACGAAATTTTCACTATCTCAACGTTCAGCGAGCCATTACACAACAATGCACAGCGCGACTTAATACCCTTTTTTGTGGAGCTGGTCACATATATACGACCGGTACTACTGGTTTTTATAAATAAAGATTGCAGGTGTGCAGTGCACATACAAGTACAGGTAATCTTTTCAACTTTGATAATTATAAGACATGTACTTCATAATTGAACATCAGTAAAGGCTAGACAATATCTGCTCTAACATTAATTCCTCACATTTATTCCATTTCGGGATACATGTTACATATAAAATGCCCATGGCCAACCAAAAGAAGTGCCCGTCGTACCCATGCATAATGAAAGCATCGGCACGGAGGGGGGCCCACATGCATGGCTGCGTACATAAATTGCACATATCATAGGGCGTTTACCCACTACAATCCATCTGGGCGAGTCTCGGATTTCGCACGGCCGACGAGCTCGATGAAAAAAACCAGGTGCTCGCCAAGAAGCGTTGGAAAACGTGCACTCGGCTTGGTTTCCTGTCATTTGCTGACCTAGTTGCAAGCCCTCCACTGGAAAAAAAATCTGGTCAATACTTGTCTTTCTCCCCCCCCCCCCCCCCCCCACACACACACACTACAACCCCCTCCCCCCTCACTACCCCCCCCCCCCCCCCCCTCCTCCAGTCAGATGAGCAGCTCATGTTTCTCCGATGACGATTCTGGGTCGATATTCAACCTCTCCATCATTGATGTAATTTGAAGAGTTTAAAAAATGTTGGTTGGTTGATAGACACTGAAGATGTAGACCTTAGATAAACTCATGACATGTGACAACAGCGATGCATAGAGATTTTTTTGAATGGCAGACTCGTACATGTACATACTTGTTGAGTGATTTTCCCCCTCGAAATTCTTCAAAATAAACAAAAGGATATGATGAGGCATGATGTTTCATAGCGCCAGATTGTCAGACGCCAGGTTGTTTATAGATAATTCATTTGATAGTTTACATAATTTGCATTTGTATCATGCCATGATACAGTAACAAAGTTTTACTATAAAAGTTGGAGTTGCTAAGTCCATAAGAAAAAATTAAGACTACTTGTAAATGTGATCTATATAAATGTTATAAATGTTATAATGTATTCAAAATGTTGTTCTTTTTAGACAAAATTCAAAGAACTATGGCTGTGGCCAGGCATCAATGACAGTCACTAAACATCTACAGTATTTTGAAGTATCGGATTGTTAGATAATGCAAAGAAGTCAACATTTTTTATCTGAGCATATATTGGGCATGGGCTTCGTGCGCAAACAAAAGAGGGCGCTTTTTTTACCACTGTCTAGAGCTGTGGACAGGACACACCGCGTGCGCGTACTGGTTCATGCGAGTGTGGCGCATAGAATGCAAGCCTAATTTTATTCTGAATGTACCGGTACACAAATAGCATCTTCTCGTGAGTGTCAGCCGTCGGCAATGCGTTCTAATGTCACTCTCCATGATATTTTCAACCGATACGTTGGATACATTGTTTAGATTTATGTAAATGCACAAAGCATGGCTTTAAGGACAGCTTTCCTTTGCAGAGACATTATCCCTTTAATTCTATTTCATCATTCTTGTTTTTGGTCACACAGAAGAGTCGCTAGAGAGATCCAACAGCCGACGCATGCGAAGCACCCCGAGCATCTCCAACAAGCCCAACACAGACGACTTTGTGGTCATCTACAACCGGGTGCCCAAGACGGGAAGCACGTCCTTCACGGGCATCGCTTACGACCTCTGCCATGCCAACAAATTCAACGTCCTGCACATAAACACCACTCGTAATATGCACACCATGTCTGTTGCTGATCAAGTAAGTAGTTTTGGATCGCATTGACTTACAAAAGTAGCGGAGTTGTGGACTTCATGTAAAAATAGTAGATGGGGCTTCATGACCATTCGAAAGAGCTCCAGCGTGAGCGCACTTGTTCAAAGTATGCATGATTAACCCTCCTAAACAAACAAACATTCTGTGCCGAGCAGTCCTTTTTCAAAATGACTGTTTTCAACAAGAACTCACAGCCTACATAAAGCAGAATTGACTGGCTGTGACTGTTTATGTAACTTGATACAGCCTTGCTTTGGCTGTGAGTGAAGTCCATCCCAAGTCTATCGCAAGTCCATCGCAAGTCCATCACAAGTCCATCACAAGTCCCTGCAAGTCCATCACAAGTCCATCACAAGTCCATCCCAAGTCCATTACAAGTCCTTCAGTCTCAAGTCAAGTCACTAGCTATTCAAATGAAGTCTTACAAAAAGTATTCTTTTGTTCTTTGGTCATTCCGTTACTTGTGACTGGACTTGTGAAAAGTCTTGTGATGGACTTGACTACAGCACTGTCATAAGTCATCACAAGTCATCACAAGTCATCATAAGTCATCACAAGTCATCACAAGTCATCACAAGTCATCACAAGTCTCAGTCTCAAGTTGAGTGAAAAACTCTTAGATGGAATGTGATAAAGGAATTCCTTTGACATGTTTTACCCCGTCTACTTGTGGCCTGACTTGAGATTTGACCTGTGATTGACTGGACTGCAACTCTGGAATGTAGTACAGATGTTTCGGTATAACATCTTGTCAAGTTGATGTATCACCTTGCTGAAGTATGTCAAGTCTCAAGTCTCAATTCAGGTGGGATTTTTGTAACCCACACTTTTCTTGTATACTGGCATTCAGTATAGGCTCCGTGCACAGGTACCCCCTCAACTGTAAGAAAGGGAGAGTTGGGGAGACTACTGCCAGTAGAGACTTCCAAACTCGTCGTTGATGAAGCCTGATACTCACACAAAGACCCTAAGTTGTGCGTACTTTACGTTAAATACGCGCGACTCAGTACACGCACGTGGTGTGTCCCGTCCACTGAGCTCTCCGAAAGTGGTAAAAAAAAGTGCCCTCTCTTGTTTGCACATGGAGCCCATATCTGAAACACTTAATCACCAGGTTAGCCTGTGTTGATTGGTCAGTTCAAATATGGACCTATTCCATAAGTCCCTCCCCATGAAGGTTTGACCAAGTCCCTCCCCATGAAGGTTTGACCAAGTACAGCCAAGACTGAGCAACCAAATGTCTAACATTTGTACATTCATGCACGTGTTGTTTCCCAGGTGCTAAGATGGAAGGCTTATTATCAACGTCAGAATGGTACATTCCGCAAAATAGTGGACACTGCACATTTGAAGTTGCCTAAGGCCAAGCAACAGCTACAGCTGCAAACAAGAATTATTTTGCACATGTTGTGGTTGTCCTAACACGAGATGCATCTCAGAACGAGGATATTCTCGGCATTTCTCCTTTATTGGGACGCGTTGGCCAACAATCCTCCGTTTGCGCCAGCAAATCAGAGATGCCAGGCAGACTGTAACGCAACTTTGGTGTTTGCTCGTCGTGTACTTACTTCTTGTTTGTTCCTTCCTGTTTTATTCCTGTTACATTTTGACACCCCCCCCCCCTTCCTTTTTTGCCTGCCGTGACAAAGTCCCTTTTTTAAGAAACAAATTTGCCTTGCTGTTTGCTCCCCGTATGTATCTTGTCTTGGAATGGGCTTGAGGCTACTTTCTTGTGTACGTACATTTTTTATTCATTTTAAAGAGTACTTTTGCAAAGAGCATCTGTAGAAAAATCTTCCCTTTTTGAGGCAATAGGAGGGAGGATTGTCATCATGTAAACGTACTGTACCCTGCATTTTTGGAACAATGTCCCAGTGTAAACCCATATGACGTTTAACGAATTAGGAGTTCAAAATATATGATTTGGAAAGGGCAACGAGATCGTACTCTTTTATTGTAAACCTCTGGGTCATGAATGCATCAGTCATTTATGCTTTGGACGATTTGTCTTCCTGATGTCACTTTGCTGCTTATTTGCTAGCAGACATCTCAGTGGTTTACACAAATAAACAGGTTGCAGCGCCAACAATGGGTCGGTGTGAATATGCTGTCGTCTAAATGATTTGTCATACCTAATCGGCGCGATTTGATTGGTTTTTGTCACCATCGAATGACTAATAGATGCGCTGAGGGAAACATGAGCACCAAGAGCCATGGACAGATGTACTCGAGGTGTCTCTTTACTAAAAAGAGGGAAACAGTTGAGAAGTAAATCTTAAACATGGATGCTTTACTGCGCAAAGAGTCTGTGATCTTGGGGTCACACTATGAACAGAAGAGGACAGTGGCACACTTAGGGGGCTGCATGGTACCATGCCCCCCCCCCTCCCCCCCCCAAAAAAAAACCCAACCCCTGTGAAGATTTTTTTGTTAACGTGTTTCACAGCTTTGTTAACTTAAATCCAATAAAGAGTGCCACCTATTGTCCAATGGTGGCCAATATCATCTGCTTTGAATAATGCCTTCCATAGTCAGATGGTGTCCAGTCCATCTCGAATCAGCGTCAAATATGTACATGTGACTCATACAGTCAAAAGAAGACAGAGTTGTGAACAAGTGAAATTCTCAAGAGAAGAATGCATTTCATAGACATCAATTTCATGAAAACGTCTTAAAAGTGTGAAAACGTCTTAAGTCAGGTGCTGATGTTCAACCACTTGTGAGGATTGGAAGATCCTAGCAACTTGGTGGGTTTGTTTCTTTTTCTTGGCGTGAATTGCCCTTCAAGGACCAGTAAATTTTTACCCCAAAAAGTGCATTTTACCTCTCAGTGATAGTACCCCTTGTCCAGTGCTCTTGACTTTGTTTTTTTTGTCTTGTCAATTCGTCATCCCTTTTGTCTTACTCACTCACTTCAAATCCCCCCGGTGATTGATTCTGTCGACAGCACAATCAATATCGGCGAGAATATCGCCGCGGCTCTCCGCCAGCTTAGCTTTCCTAATCCCCACAGAATCTTCTGGACCTCCCTCGTTGAGAAACATGGGAGCTCTCGAATAGAGCTCCCCTGCTGAAACAGTGGGGTACAGTAGCCTTGGCCCGCCTTCGTTATTCCCGCTTACTGTCAAATCAATTTGTGTAGATCTTCTTCCCGCTATCTTAAAGACGAACTAAGTAACAAATACTCAGCAACCTCCCCCCCCCCTCTCCCCGTTCCCCCTACACCCCCCTACCCCCCCCCCCCCCCCCCCCATCTCCAACCCTCCAAGTTCATTCACACCACGCTGATCAATGATTATTCAATGGGATGCCAAGATGCATTTGGGTCGTGCTCATTGTTCACCTGTCATTAACAATTCCGCGAGGAGAGCGGTGACGATATTGAGAATGGAAAACACCTGTTCCATTGTCTGGGGGTTTCTGAATGGAGTGAGTGTGCGCGCGCGTGTGATGTGCCCCTTGTTGATGGGGAGCGATTAGCGCAAAAACGGGTCGCGGCTGTGTCGGGGATTACTTCTCTAATGAGAGGACGGGTTCAATTTCACGTGGCCCGGAGGACTTTTTTTGGTGTGGTCGTGTTGTGGGTGATGAAACGGACGGATGTACTGACAATTTGGAGCTAATGAGCAGGTTTTCTGGCTATTGGGTCACAATCCAACAATTAGTCATCGTGTGACTGCACATTCAAACTGTAGACCCCCCCCCAAAAAAAAGTTCATTGTTGGTTCTCGATGGTGAGATGAGGACTTCCATGAACATGTACTCAGGTGCAAAGAATATCAAGGACAAGCCTTAACCACCACCCCCTCCCATGCTTTTGGGGCACTGCTGTTAAGCCAGTTGGAGCGCTGTAGCTTTTATGTGTTTTTTCTCAAACATAATGGTGTTTTAAAAAAACACAGCTTCCTTGATGTGGTGTTTTGGACTAAAAAACTGTACCTGCCATGTTACCTGCTTATTGTTCATGACGGTAAATGTATACCCCCACACACACCCACCACCCACCCCCCCCCAAAAAAAAAAAAAAAAACAGCCCCCCAAAAAACAAAAAATTCACAACATTGTTACTGTTTTTCAATTCTTCTGATCATGGCATGACATTTTTCAGACTTTTTTTAATCTGAGAGAAAGACATTATCAGTATTGAAAGAAAACATGCATCTTTCAGACTGTGCATCAAATTTTCAGACTATTTAAAACTGACAATATCATCCCTGCTATTACATGTTCTTCGCGCACCTGGGAATGTTGGGCTCGATTGATCAAAAGTCTTGCCGGTTTATCCCCCCGCTTGACAGGGGGGATTTGGGCAAATTGTCAAGTGCGAACGGAATTCCTAAACGGAACATAGGGAAACCGTTTAAGCTCACCGCGGATGTTATTTGAACCTGTTAATGCCTTGACATATGTGTCGGATTTATCAGCTGATTTCATCAGTTCATGACCGTATCGAAGAGACTAAGCATTTCGTAGAAGTTTTTAATGTTTAACACAGTCTTTATAAAAAAAAAAAGTGACGGTCCAATGAAATCGCAGTGTACATGTCATGTGTATATTTGTTGATAGTGTAAATATCAGTGGATAGAAAAATGGATGAGTAAAATTAGTTTCCAGTAGGATGTCATTTTCTTTTTTTGCTTTTCATGTTTTTTTTTACAGGAAAAAAGTATTAATAAGATGGGATTTTGCGTCGGGGTGATGTAAATCAAATTAGGTTTTGCCCTTCACCGACGTATAAACACTGTATACTCAGTGTGTTACCTCCCGAGTGAATAAAGTACTTTCATTTTTTTTAAATTCATGCAAACTTACATCATCGTGTAGTACTAATAAAATAATTTAAAGTAATCCAGTCAAACTATAATACTTTCTGGGAACTGTCAGGGGGTTTGCAATGTCTCTAAAACAAACATGACTTTTAGAAATGGTTCAGTATTTGAAGTGCTTCATGTACATGTATTTCCCAGGTTTGCAGCGTTGCTAATGTTGCTAGCATCGTGACTTTGTGCGTGATCCCTGGCTACATGGCATGTAGGGGTTTATGGCTTCTGACTAGCGCCCCTTGAACAAAGACATTGACAAAATGGAGAACCACCAGTACAGGGCCGGATAGCTCAGTTGGTAGAGCACTGGAACGGCTATCCGGAGGACACGGGATCAAACCCCGCTCCAGTCAATTTCATTGTTCGACTTTAAAATAAAATAAATGATAAGTACATGTTAAAGAAACTAACGTATAACACTTGATGGCTTATGAGTCAGAAAGCGAGAGAGTCTCCCGTAAGACATTAGTGCATGATGTCAGAACACAGCTTAAAAGGCTTTTTCCATTCCAAACAAATGAAAAGTACACAAACCTGCCACACGTACCGCTTTCTCGCTTGTTTTCTGTGCGTGTATGTACGTGCACAAGCAGGTCCCGATCTGTAATTGGTATTTTCAAAAGTGCTCACAGGGGGAACCATCAACCTTACAATGAAAAATCAGTTCAATATCCCAAGTCTCCTAATCTGGTTTCAGCCACTGTCTGTCACTTGTCCAATTAGCACCCAGACAGAGGTTGCCACCTGCACTGAGGAGAATTTCACACAAGCCACACAAGCCGAGGCATTGACATTGGGGCCTGTTCACTCCGTTCGACTCTTTGTCAAAATCCGTCATCTGCTCACAACATACCCAATTTTTTTCCCCTCCTGAGCAATTCATAAACTGCTCCTAACGATTCAGCACCCTAATGAGTTTTTTGCCTGCATGGACCCCTTGGCAAGCTTTTCACCTGTTTTTTAGTGTTGTGCTTTCATTTAAGATTTGGGGAACATTCCGGGGCCATGTTTTAAGTGATGTGGCACTCATTTCCATTGGATTGTTATTAGTATCTGGCCGCAAGGTGCCCATTAGGTTTTTTTTGGGGGGGGGAGTTAAAGAGGAACCATCAATGAACCTCTACTCCAAACAGAACCTATAATTGGTTTCCATGGCAAATTTTTCTCAATTGAGGTTTTCAGCGTTGGGCTAATGGCAGATGCCAATAAAAATATAATTGAATGGCAAAAATTGGCTTCAAGCACTTTTGAAAATATGTGAAGAGTTGTGAAGTTTTAATGTTTTGAATGATTGAATATGTGATTTACGAATAAAAGTATAATCATTGGTCACTTAGAAATTTTTTGAAAACTTGTGATGCTCAAACCCTTTCTGAGCACCTGTCACTTTCCTTGATTTCATTTTTTCATCTTCATTTTTTTTAAAAATGCGTTCCCAGTGACACTCGGCTGTGCTTTTAACTCTTTTGAATCTGTTGCTTTTGTTGCTGTGTGCTTCAAGAAAATGTAACAGTCAGCTCGATGTTTAATACAAGTGCCACTCAGAAAATGCGTACTCCATTGTTTTGGTTGTCCAGGATTATCTAGGCCAGAGACCTTGCAAATCTGAGCACTAGTTTTTTTTTCACCGTTCAATTATTGAAAATCAATCTGTCAGGTCACAGAGGAATCTGCGATTACGGGCATTGGGTAACTTGATTGCCACTTCTTATCAAGCGCACTGTACGTGTCGGAATTCGGTATCATTTGCTTCCTACATCACTTTCCTGCAGTGTTGATATACTATCAGGGAAACGCAGATGTGGACACCTGAAGAGGAAGTGTCCAAGCTTACCAAGGGCAGAGGGCGGAAGGTGGGAAGAAGTGTCTCAAATCGATTGCCAGAATTTTCAGTAAACAATGACGCAGAACTAATACGTTCATGCAATTGTTGGTACGAGGCAAGCTGCTATTAGGCCGAGTAACAAAAATAAGGATGTTCTCGTCCGACCTTTTTTTTTTCTGGGTTCAGCCGCGAGTTAACGTTTATTTAATTTTGCATGAATTTTGCGTAAAAAGTTGCCTTTATACTTTAAATATCTGAAACGGCTGTGGAGTTCACAATAATAATTGTTTTTGTGTGCCCTTGAATGGTAAAAAATGACAACAAAAACAATGCATATTCAATTCAATTCAAACTCACATTTATTTCCATACCAAACGAAAGATATAAGCAGAGAATACACGAATACGTGAATGGAATTGTCGAAAAGGTGTAGAAGGGAAAATATAGGTGTGAGGCATCTTCTAAAAGCCTAGGCTTGTGGTGAGATGCCTTTGACAGCCTAACACATAACAAAAACAAGAACAAATACACATGGACAGTTGGACCAAGACAGAACCTGTCCTAAGCATGAACATTTACAGATCAACTAGAAAAGTACGTATTGAAAGGGAAAAACAAATTGCTGAAAAACCATAAAGGTGTGTCCTTAGATATAATGGTTTTTTTTGTGGCCAATTTGGAAACTGTGTCAGTTTTTCCCTATGGAAAAGCAATTGCTGATGAATTATTTCAATACTCCATACTCAATCTGCTGTAATCACATTTAACTAACAGTGAACTAAGAAAATTGAAAAATTCAGTCAGCGGCCAAAATTTCGATTTTCGGGGTGGGCGTGAACCAACATCAGTAGTACAGAATTACGGGAACATCTGCTGCTAAGTGGTAGCCTGATTTTGAGTACGTGTACACGTACATCGGCTACCAAGCAAAGCAACAGCGGAAATTACTCCATCCAGTTTATTATTTTCCCCCTCAGCAAAACACTTTGCCGGATCACATTTCACATGAGCTAAAGGGAGGTGGAACCAGAGAACACATGCACTGCAGGGTGCTCTTCAGCTATATTTTCATATGTGCCTGCTTTTGTTTGGTGCACCGTTTAGAAGTAATGCTTTTGCAGCATGGAGCGTGCCCTGAATATTAAAAAAGGGTCAATAGTGACGTGGTATTTGCACATTTTCTCCAGCAAACCTTTGCATAATTATCATTGAAAAAGTCAGTTGGCTTTTAAATCGTGGCAAATTTCGACTTTCAGCCAAAACGAATGGACAATACACAAAGATTCTCATAAAATTCTTTACTTTGATTTGTTTTACGAAAAGCTCAGATTTAAGATGGTTATTCAATTCTCCATATTACTCTTGTACAGGTTATTGATATTTGTGACGAAATACCATCGAGATGTGATCATTGGTGCAACGCGCAGCAGCACTTCAACTATTAGATATTGTTTAGTGCAAAAAAAACCTGCTGCTTCCATTTCCCCCCTGCAGCTATTGTGATGAAGTCCTACAACAATACTGGACCGTGTATTGAAGTGCCTGGCCACGGGCCAGTTCATAGTGATGCAAGGGGGTGTGTAGTCATCAATTCCACACTGCAGGCCGGCTTCTCTTAAAAGTTTTGTGATTAGTTTTTTTGGGGGGAAGATGTTTGGAGCAGTCTCCAGTGTCTTTTGTCATCAGTGGAGTATAAAGTCTACAAACCTGGCTTTGAGGATGAAATCAAATCAATGTTTTCGGCTAGACTGACTGACTAGCCAGTGCAGTATCTTATGGCATTTAATGCCCGTGTACACATACAGGATCATGTAATTTGAGACATCACTCTTGAGGGTTCCGGTAAAATAATTTTCAAAGGCATCTTCATCGGAGCCACATTAATCATCATCATGTGTTACTTATGAGACTAATGGTGTCCATTTTGTTGTTTTATTGATGACTGAATGATGTACATTCAATTCCATGTGTGTACCATGATGCAAAAACATTCTGTCAGAGTACGGCTGTTTTGGGGCTCTTTAGGGGCGCAGCTTAAAGGATTTTTGAGGGGGTAGAATGAGGCCCTCATTTGTCTTGATGAGCATCAACCTTTCTGCAAGCTGACAGCAAAACAAAGTATATATAAATTTAGCTTACATTTTACATCGATTAATAAAACTCACTACATTTTTTTTAAATTCCTCTTCTATCATGCTTATAAATACAATGTATGCGCGTTGTTTTCTAATTTTACTTTTTCTTTATTTTCTTCCTTTACAGATGAAATTTGTTTCAAATGTCACAAGTTGGACGGCGAAGAAACCAGCTTTTTACCACGGCCATTTAGCATTTATAGATTTTGGAAGGTAAGAATTTCAATTGACCCCAAAAAATTTTAAAACTAAAGCTAAAGAAATGAACCAAATTTATAGGAAAAAAGGTTTGAAAGTTAGCACGAGTAAAAGAAGAACCTTCAAAGAAAAAAAAATTAAAAGATACTCTTTTTGTTTAATAGAAGAAAATATTTCATTGGTGATTCTTAAAATCTTTAAACTTTAAACTATAAGAAATCAATTCGTTGCCATTCTCTTTAATTGTCCAAAATGTCAGAAACTTCTCTGTTTACTGCTCCAATTGCTCTCCAGAAATCCTAGAATCGCAAGTATTTTTGCCAATTAAAGTTGGTGCGTTGCACCAGCGCATTTCCCCTGCACAAAACCTACGGTAGGAATGTAGCGAATGTAATCACAATTTTTTCTCTGATCAAAACACCAGAGGCCCCAGGTTCATTTACCGGAGCAGCCCTGGGGTAGTAAATCACAATTTCTGCCGTCAGTAGCCATATGCTGGCCCATCATGTTGCATTTAGCAAGTCGCTGTTTATCTACGCCAAGCCAAACAAGACACCAAGTCACTTTTTTTCGAGCATCGTATTTCTCTTATAGATCTTGCATTTTTTCTTTCAAAAGTATCAATTTCACATCTGGATTTATGTCGTGGGCTTGTTGACAGCATTGTTCGGATACGTCATAAACCACTCTCTTGATTTTTGTCGCCTGCATCTTCGATAAAGTTTGATAACTTTGGAGACAGACTGACTAGCTCGTCTTCTCTTCAAATACACAGAAATGTCATCATGTTGCTCTCTGTCTGAGCATGGTCTGAGGGCTCAGCTCGGCAAAATTGTTGTCTTTGTGTCCGAGGGTGGCGTTGTTATGACTCACGCTAATCACCGCCCAATGAGTTTATCACATGGCGCGCTGGCGGTCTGTGTATTTACTGCACACAGAGATATGCTGACTATTCAATAACATGCAGTTGGGACGTCTGGCCCTCTCCTCCTGACTGGTTCCCAGTGGTCTCATAAAATGTTGAGACTGCAAGCAAATGCTCCATAATACAAGCACAAGGACGGACCAAACTTTGTGGGAGGGGGATGGGTTGTAAAACATAGCACAAATTATTGAATGGGTAGTGCTAGGGAAGTTTTTGGATTAATCAAACACATGCAAAACAAAAGGGATATATCAAGATCTTAAGGATTTAGCAAGGAGCAAGTTTGAACAAAAACCGCAAGCAAGTTCGATCAAGAACTGTGGTAAACCGTAGTTTGACTAATTTTGATCAAACATATGTGATGCGATCAAGCTGAATGAGTCGTTTGTTGGGAACTTTCATTTGGAGATTCAGGCCAAAATAGGGCCACTTCATCATATCTCTTGGTGTTCCGACTTCAGCAAGTTCGATCAAGAACTGTGGTTAACCGTAGTTAGACTAATTTTGATCAAACATGTGATGCGATTAAGCTAAATGAGTCGTTTGTCAGGAACTTTCATTTGGAGATTCAGGCCAAAATAGGGTCACTTCATCACATCGCTTCATCACATTTCTTGGTGTTCCGACTTCCATAATTTTTTAACCAAAGGTGGTACCAGCATGGGGTTTTCACATCAGTAATGCTGAGATTGTGCTCTTTTCAAATCTGTAAAAAAAAAAAAATTGACCGGGGTCGACAATAACTCATTTAGCTTGATAGCATCACATACGCTAGTTGACGATGATGCGCAACTATCATTGAGTATTTCAGACCGTCTCTCACGTGCGGTGTTATCACAAGTTGAGACTGCTTTGCATATCAAGAAAGCGTCCTAAATTAAAGCTGCTCTTCGTCAAATTCTGTTTTTTGCTGTTAATACATTTTCAACTTGTATATCGCATTCCAACCAAAAATCTGTTGAGTTTTTTTTTCCGCTTCCTTTTTTTTTTTGGGTGTCTGCAACCCTCTGTAAAAAAGGTTTTTATTTTGGGCACATATAGATCTGCCTTGCAAGCAGGCTGGCTCCCGGTTCGTACATTAATAGCGATAATGATTGTGGGGCAGGTACCGGACCGGGCTATCCCGCAAGAACGGAACTAGTTCGAAATTGTAAACTATACTTATTCAGTAACTAAATACGGGATGATGTTTTGTTGTCTCATTCAAGTTCAAAAGTGCAAACATTTTGTATTGCAAGAAGAAAGAAAACAAGTTAGAAAAGGAATTTAGTTTTCGGAATGAAACTCGAAAATAGCGCAGGGAATGCAACTTTTAACATACATGTATGTAACAGTTATGACTGAATCATTGACTTCTAAAAAGCCTGAAAATCAGTCTGTCAAACAATACTCTGATTGTATCTCTGTTAAATTTTCTTTTTAATCAACAGTTTTGGTTCCTCACAGCAGCCATTATACATTAACATAATTCGTCGACCGCTTGACAGACTAGTATCGTATTACTACTTCTTAAGAAATGGAGACGACCTAAGACCGAAACTCAAGCGGGCAAGACAACAGGGTCACACTAATAAAGAGGTAAGTAATTAATGCACATCAATTGTCGTAAATCCTTAAGATAATCCCAGACGGTTACAGATTTATCTTAAGTATTTCTTTTTTCAAGTGTACATAAATGTTAAGGTTTTCCTGGATAATGGCAAAGCTTTCTTTTGTTTTAACTCTACATTGTGTCTGCATGTAAAGTGTACAGAATCCCAAACCAAAACAAATTCTCCCAAAAAGTCAAAAGTTAAATCCACGGTTCAATTGCACATTCCTTGTGGGAAAAAAAGACAGAAAAATGTTTACAGAGTTACTAAGTATGTATGCAAATCATTTCGCCAGTTTCCCTTTTGTTTGTTTCTGTCTCGCTTATTCTTTCTCTCAGTCTTTGCCTCTGTTTGTTTCTGTAGTTCCTTCACGGTCTTGTTCTCGGTCTCGTTACCATGCCTTGTCTTTCTGCTTCACCAGCCATCTGGCGTCCACCCAGTCTGCCTGGCACACTCATTAATTTTCCCTCCAAACTTGATTATTGACTCAGTGGGCTGGGATCCGCCAACTCATGCGCGTGCAGGCAGACATGAATGTTTCTTCTGTCCCTCTCCTGGGATCTTACCTCTCCCCTCCCTCCCCTTTTATGTTCCAACTGGGTCCCACATTCGGCAGCCTATTATTGCATCCAATCCTCGCCGGACATTTCTCATCCAACCGTGAGCCTACCAAATCTCCCCATTAAGCACCAAAGCCACCAATTCTGATATTTTTTCTTCTCCTTCTGTCAGGGTTACTTAATCAGGTAATGATTTAAGGTAATTGTCCAGAAGACTGAAAATTTACTCAGGGAATTTTCCTCCCCTTTTTTTAAATTTTTCTCTTCTAAGTGAAACTTATTCCCTGGGGAGAATCGATCCACTCGGCAGTGCCATGCACCTGTGCTCTAATGATTATTTATCTACTCTGTGTGGCCCAGTTGAGGGGGTTTAAGAGAAATTGGATTATGAGCTATGAAGTCATCAAGTTAGCTCAATCAAAAAGGGGGGGGGGGGTTGGTTTTTGTTTTGTTTTTTATGAGGAAGCCTGGTCTGAATTATCGAGTGGCTACTTTAAGTAGAGCTCACCCAAAGATCTTCTGTGCTCCTCCTGAAAGTAAAGCTTTTATCAGGAGTTTTAAGATAGATTTCGTAGAATATTACGGGTGACAGTGTAGTTGAATAGCGATTTATTTTGACTTCGATTGCCTGGAGCTTACCTCTTACCAAAATAATTATTTGGTTTTGCTGTCTCTACTAAAACTGTCAGTTTTCTTAGCGTGACTGTAACACACATTTCAGCATTAGTTTGGCAGTGATGTGGACAAGTCCATTTTCCGAGCTCGACATGTATACTGAAATATCTATCACGATAGAAAATTAAGCCTGAAAATTAGATAGTGTTTTCTGAGAACCCAACCATTCGAGTATGGGTAGGAATTCAAGAATTTGGACAGAAATGGTGTGTTTCAATTTCTATGGCAAGACCAAAGTCTGAGCACTGGAGTCCGATTTTGAGTTCTTGTGCAAATATCACACATTTATTTTGTAGGTGTGCCAGGCGCTGTGTTACTGTGTACAGATTCTCATGTTGTTACTCAAGATACTCGAGTCAACTTAGCCTCAGAAAATACACTTGATTTTTTCTATGATGTTACTTTTCAGTGTAATCAAGGCCTTGGAACAGGACTCCACTACAGCTCCGCTCTTGGGTGCTTGTATTACCAGGAGTCCAGGGTTGCATTTGGAATCAAAGTCCTGCGTTTGACACATTTTCTCTTCTCTATTTCAGAGTTTTGACCAGTGTGTAGCGCGGCGGGGCTACGACTGCTCGGAGCAGAAGCTGTGGATTCAGGTACCCTTCTTCTGCGGACATGCTCAGGAATGCTGGTGGGTGATATTTTATTGATGTTCAACAAATATTTGGGGATTTATTTCAGAGGAATCAACGGGCATATTTCAAGGAAGGGAGGAAGAAGCCTTCAGCACCCCCAAATGTTGCTACTGTAGCCCCGCCTCTTCTCCCCAAATTGTTGCCGAAGCCAAACATTTTGTCTGATATTTTCTTGAAAATTGCTGAAAAAAGGGGCCTCGATTTGGTTTGTACTTTTACAGATTGGTTCAAAACTACAAATGAGATTTCAGTTAGGTGGTTATATGTTTCGAGGGGATAATAATAACTGCCGCTGAAAATATATTTTTGAATGTTCTCCCACTATTTGTGGTGACATACATAAGTCTGTGGATTATGGTTCATATCCCAATACAGACATGAGATTTTTCAGACATTTGTCTGAAATCAGTCTTTTTTAATCTGAGATAAAATCAAACTTTTTGAATCTTGAGAGAAAGACATTTATCAGTACAGAAGGAAATGCACCTTGCCCACCTTTCATTCAATTTTCAGACTTTTTCAAAATTGACAATCTCATCCCTGCCAGTAAGGGAATCATGCAGCTTGTGTTCTTGAGCAGGACAACTTACTGCAATTAGTTTAAGGCAGTTGCTTGGAATAAGTATGTGCCAAATTTAGACAAGACCATAAACCAATTTGATCTCTATTCATAAGACGGATGTTGCGTCAGGGTGATGTAAATTCAATATTAGGTTTTGCCCCTGACTGACAATTTGATATCACTGGTAACCTACATAATTATCCCAGTTTTGCTGGACATTAAAATTTAACCTTGCCAATAAATACACTTCCGAACTTTACCCCTTTCATTTTTCACTGGTAAACTTATGCTTACATCATTTGCGGCTGTGCAGGGTCCCCGGTAGTCGCTGGGCGTTAGAACAAGCCAAATTCAACCTAGCCAATCATTACCTCCTGGTGGGCGTGACCGAGGAAATGGAGGAGTTTGTCACCATGTTGGAGTCGGCCCTCCCTTCGATGTTCAGGGGCGCTGTGGATCTCTTCAGAACAGGTGCGTGGCTTGGCATTGAATCACACAAATCTCCATCTTGGTCTGGTACCTGGACTGCCATAAAGTTAATGCAGTGCTAATTTTGAATACAGTTAAGTTGCCAGACTATTTCACGAGAACATTTTCATGATGATGAGAATCAAGTTTTGATAATTCCACATTGTATCGTTTACACTTTTTTGTCTATAGTTAGTAATCAGTAAATATATGGGGAACCACCAACAAAGGGCTAGATAGCCCAGTTGGCAGAGCACCGGAATGGTAATCCGGAAGTCGCAGGATCAAACCCAGCTCCAGTCAATTTCTTTGTTTTTGTAAAACATGTGCCAGTTTTTCATACATTTTCCCCCCGATATTGCAACTAGGTCAAAAGTCACACCTGAGGAAAACAGCCAACAAACTGAAGCCCTCGGAGGAAACCATCGAGTTCTTCAAGGCCTCCCCAATCTGGGAAGTGGAGGAGGAGTTCTACAACTTTGTGCTGGACAATTTCCACATGCAGAAGAAGCGCAGTCTGAAGACGGTAGACGGCGTGGTGGTGCCGGTCAGCGGTCAGTTCTTGTACGAGAAGATTCGGCCCAAGTGACATACGATGTGCCCTCGGGTCACCCATATATGAAGCAAATCTGGATCTTTTTCACTGGGTGGACCTTTTGTTTTTCTCTTTTTTACTTCACTTTCTTCAATTTCGTGTTCTCAGAACTAGAAAAAAATTCACGAATATTTGTTATCCAACATGGCTTCAGTTATGTTTTCTCAAACCTTGATATACAGATTTTGAGAATCTTCTTTTACCCACCATCTTTAACGTATTGTTGTTCTCAAAGCTATACATTTTTGATAATAATACATGTAGCTTTTTGGCTGACATTTGTGGAGCTGTGCGTTCTCAAAATGAGACCTGCTGATTTTCAGAATGTTCTAATTTTTTGTTTTTGGTGATGAAAGACTTCAGGCATTCTTAAAGTCTGATTTTTGTACGATTGAAAACTTTTCCTATTTATAGAAAATAGATTTTATTTTGGTTTTTGCGAAAGTACTAATCGCAAAGGACCAAGTCAAATTCTGAAATTGTATGATAAGTTTGGCCCTGGTCTTGTTCCCAGAAGCTTGCATAGGAATGAGTATGATATTGGTAATGACATCCCCGGTACCTGTCACTGGTCTATGATACAGAAAGTGAAGATGAAAAGCATGACTTGGCAAATACTGACTGCTGTAATATAGAATACAATTTTTTTTTCAATTCGCGAAACAAATATACACAATATTTGAAGCCAGAATTTGGCACGGCCTGTGTAATTATTTATCTTTTACCTTCGCAAACAACTCGTATTTATGTGAACCATATTTTCATGCCTGCAGTCTCAGCAAATAAAGAGTATGTATCATATTCTGTGAATACTGTCCGGTCAACATTTTTTCTATGTGCTATGCATATTTGCTATGAATATTGACTAGAGGCCTAAGATTAAGAGACTGGGGGGGGGGGTATTTATAAATATATTTAACTCATTTCATAGACTGATAGTTGACGTATGTGTAGTTAACACAAATGTGTATATTTCTGTAAGATATGGATACTAGTAACGGAGTTTATTGTTCCCGTTTTGTTAAATATGAATTGTAAGCTACTTTTAAAATAAATGACCATCAGCCACGTCAGCTTCACAAGGAATGCAGTGCATTTCTAGTCCGTATGGTTAAAATTCCTGCTTCTTTGTTTAGATATAAGGATTTACCCATATCTGTAGTGCAATACACCCAGAACCAAAAGAAAAAAATATGGCACCACATTTGCCCAAATCTTTCAAATCAATATTTGGAAAAAAAAGAATGCTAACTTCCCATGTACAGGGTGAGGTTAAAAAAAAAACGAAACCCAAATGTCGGGACTATTATTTCAGTGAAGTTCGGCATGTAGCACTTCCAAAATCTAGCATATGAAAGCCCAATTCATAAGCTTTCTTTTAGTACAAGAATCATTCCAATCACTTGTGTACTTTTCCAAGTTACGGAATTTTAAACACAACCACCGTTTTAAAGTTCTGTCCACGGATCACAAGAAGGTAAGTGTTCTTTCAGCAAAACTTAAACAAATCACATAGGGATATGTGTGAATCTTTTTCGTTTTGCTGAAAGAACGCACACCTTTTTTTGATCCGTGGACAGAACTTTAAAACAGTGGTTGTGTTTAAAATTCCTTAACTTAAAAAGTACATAAGTGACTTGAATGATTCTTGTACTAAAAGAAAGCTTATGAATTTGGCTTTCATATCCTAGATTTTAAAAGTGCTACATGCAGAAGTCCCTAAAACAATAGTCCCGACATTTGGGTTTCGCTTTTTTTTTGACCCACCCTATATGGCTTGGTTGGCGTTGGCCCCTCTACCCATACCCACACCGCTTTCGAACCAACCTCCCCCAATACGAAAAAAAATGTGGTGCCTGTGCTCAGAAGATGTGCTTTTAACTCGTTCGTACTTTATATTTTGCGCGAACACAGTGATTGTCTTTCGATTGCGACCACTTTACTAAATAGATCCATATTAGTTCTCTTGAATAGTCAGATTGTAATCTAATTTATCATTCCTTTCAAGTTTTTAAAATGACAATTTGACATTTTGTATCACACGAAGTGCTTTTTGTGAGTCTTTTTAACATTGATGGTCTATGAATTTTGAAATGTCACTTTCTTTGGAGGCAATTTTCTATGAAAATGCAAATAATGTTTCTAGTACCATAAAATTGATATTTTATGGTCTACAAATGTAATTGGAATATTGCAGTGCATATCAAATGAATTTCCTTGAACATCATCTGTGGGTTGTATCACATACATGTACCTCAATTTCTAGATTCATCATACTGAAGTTTAGCTCGCCAGATTGAATATAGACCTAATTTTGTGACGTCACATTTAGAATGGCGTTTAGCCAACGCCTACAAACACATCTTTGTAAACACCGGCAATCGTGGACCCCTAATCCTCATTCCTTTGTTTGTACTCTTAACTTTTTAGCAACGGCTCTCATGGGTTTTGTACACGAATTTCAATCGTGGACGTTTGGTCAATTGGGACGTATTGTTTGAGCCCTAACCCTTTTGTCCTAGGTCCACGATTCCCAGTGTTAACATACACTGGTTCACACACAATCATGGCAAGGAATAAGAACAATTAATTTTCATTTGAATGTTCAGGAGCTGTTATGCCCCAACTGTAGCAATGGCCCAACTATAGTTGGAATGGTCCCAACTACAGTTGGAGCTGTCCCAACTGCAGTTGGCACGATCCCTGCTAATACTTTTGATCATCCCAACTGTAGTTGGGATGATGCTATAATTGGGGTGCAACAATTCTGTGGGCATCCTCATAACCCATTAGCACCTGTACTTCATTGTATTACATTGTATTTATTGTATTACACTGTATTACTTTGTATTACATTTTATTACACTGTATTACATTGTATTTATTGTATTACACTGTATTACATTGTATTACATTGTATTACATTGTATTTACTGTATTACATTGTATTACATTGTATTACATTGTATTACATTGTATTACACTGTATTACATTGTATTTATTGTATTACACTGTATTACATTGTATTACATTGTATTACATTGTATTACATTGTATTACACTGTATTACATTGTATTTACTGCATTACATTGTATTTACTGTATTACATTGTATTACATTGTATTACATTGTATTTATTGTATTACATTGTATTTATTACCTGATGAAACCATTAAACCATACAGTAATGGTTCTGTTTTGGGAGATACAGGGAGTAACAGGCAGGGCTGTTGGGGCGACACGGGGACTATTGGATTAAAGTGTTACCGTTTAGGAAATAGTTGGAGTCAACAGCAGAGTTGCTTGCACCACTCCTTTCCTCCCTCCCATCCACCCCCCCCCAGTACCCCCTCCCCAGCACCCCCACCCCTACCTCTTACTCAAATTGAATAAGAACTACTGTATATATTTCTTTGTAAAGCATGGACATTTTGTATATACTGACAATAATTATGTGGCAGTGATTATGTGTTTGTGTCTTGGTGCGATTCACTACAACATACAATAACAGTGAACGAAAAAAAGAAATCTAAAAACTTCCTTCATTTTCGACAAAGTTGAAGAGGACTTATGATGCCTGGAAGTAAATTATGCAAAGGTATTGTCAGATGTTGTCAGACAGCATTATTATTATGTTAATGTCCTCTACCAATTTGTGTCAGAAACCTACTTTTAAATAGTATCCTTCAATACAAGATAATTGTTCTCACTTTGAAACCACTGTTTTTCCCCCCAAACTGTCAATATAAATATAGTGTGACATATTTTCTTGGGCCACAATTACTTTATATGTCCCTCAACCTCGAACAAACTATTTCCATTCCATTGTGGTTACTCTACAAGGCGTCCAGTTAGATTACTTGCGGCCTGCGGAAAGTCATTATTACGTAAAACTAATTCTTTTGTGACCCAGTTGGCCCTGTAAACTTGACTTTCCTTTATGTAGAAGCATAAAACAATTGACATTCTACTCTTGACAAATTGGGAAGGTTACTGGAATCAATTTGGTTAAATTGATAACAATTTGTTGGTTTTTTTTAAAGGTCAACAACGGTCGCTGTTTGTTTTTCCAAGTATTAACAGACATCTGGTAATTATTTTTTTCCAGTTTGAACGTGTACCAAGTTTTATTGAATGAAGTGCTGCGTACAGATATAATTTGAAAGCTTGGTTTGGATATAGTGGTCACATAATGAAGTGACACCAGGCAGTGTACACTAGCCAATTTTTGAAGTTGACGTCACATATGCGAATTGTCTCACCCCCCCCCCAAAAAAAAATAGCTGTGAGAAGGGGGCATTGTACACTATTAAATAATATAGTTTATACGATTGTAGTATTTTATCAGCGCTCCCCAGAAAATGTGGTACCATGGCTTGTTCATACTACGCGTTGATTTTAAACTAATGTCCATTTTATTTATGTCTGTACCTTAGAACACATTACTGGAACAAAAATTGAAAGCCTGAAGTTTTGTAATAAAATATTAACTGAAAATAGAGAAATATATAGCAGTTCGTTGGTGATTTGTCTTTGTATGTTCAGTGATGTTCATGTGAAACAAATATCTAATTCCATAATTATTATTATTATTATTATTATTTATTATAAAACACTCGCGACCAGAAGGCCAAATTGCGGTTTATTGTACAATAAAATGATTTCAAAAAGTTAAAATAACAGTTTCAATCACAGTAGTCACTACATTAAAAATATATACTACATTATTAGATATAAAAAATACACTAATGGTTAAGACCCACCCCTGTAATATTCTATAGCAAAGCCCTGCTCCTTAATAAAAAAAAAACCAAGCTGCCAGATTATAAGAAAACGAGCTTAAAAAAGGGTTGGTTTTTTTTCAAGTAAAAATTCCACATACACAACGTGATGCATTGGAAAACCCCCAGACACTGTAAAAAGTTTTTAAAAATCAAGCACGTGTGTTCAGTAATTTAGTAAGGTACGGGATAGAGCTCTTGCCGTGCCTTTCAATTTAACTCGGACTTTAGGTTCAATAAAATGCCGTTTTTGCCGAAGTTCCATTGCATGAGGATAATTATTTTTTAGAAAACCAGCTCTTAAAACGCTCAGAAACAACACAAGATTTGGCAAATTGTAAACAAAGGTCTTCCATACTGTAAATTTAATATTGTAAGGGGTTAACCTTGCATTTTCATCAAATTTGGGCAAAATTTGAATTTTCTGGGAAATTTGAAATTGTAAGGGGTTAACCTTGCATTTTTATCAAAATTGGGCAAAATTTGACTTTTCTGGCAAATTTAATTTTGTAAGGGGTTAACCTTGATTTTCAGCGAAATTGAGCAAAATTTGACTTTTTTGGGAAATTTAGTATTGTAAGGGGTTAACCTTGCATTTTCCTCATAATTGGAAAAATTTGACTTTTCTGGGATATTTAAAACTGTAAGGGGTTAACCTTGCATTTTCATCAAAATTGGGCAAAAATTGACGTTTCTGCGAAATTTAAAATTGTAAGGGGTTAACCTTGTATTTTCATCAAAATTGGGGAAAAATTTACTCTTCTGGGAAATATAAAATTGTAAGGAGTTAACCTTGCATTTTCATCAAAATTGGGCAAAATTTACTCTTCTGGGAAATATAAAATTGTAAGGAGTTAACCTTGCATTTTCATCCAAATTTGGCAAAATTTGACTTTTCTGGGAAATTTAAAATTGTAAGGGGTTAACCTTGCTTTTTCATCAAAATTGAGCAAAATTTGACTTTTCTGGGAAATTTAGTATTGTAAGGGGTTAACCTTGAATTTTCAGCAAAATTGGGAAAAAAATTTACTCTTCTGGGAAATATAAAATTGTAAGGGGTTAACCTTGCATTTTCATCAAAATTGGGCAAAATTTGACTTTTCTGGGAAATATAAAATTGTAAGGGGTTAACCTTGCATTTTCATCAAATTTGGGCAAAATTTGACTTTTCTGGGAAATATAAAATTGTAAGGGGTTAACCTTGATTTTCATCAAAATTGGGCAAAATTTGACTCTTCAGGGAAATTAAAAATTGTAAGGGTTAGCCTTGCATTTTCAGCAAAATTGGGCAAAATTTGACTTTTCAGGGAAATTTAATATTATAAGGGGTTAACCTTGCTTTTTCATCAAAATTGAGCAAAATTTGACTTTTCTGGGAAATTTAGTATTGTAAGGGGTTAACCTTGCATTTTCAGCAAAATTGGGCAAAATGTGACTTTTCAGGTAAATTTTTAATTGTAGAGGTAAACCTTGCATTTTCATCAAAATTGGGAAAAAAATTTACTCTTCTGGAAAATATAAAATTGTAAGGGGTTAACCTTGCATTTTCCTCAAAATTGGGAAAAATTTGACTTTTCTGGGAAATTTAAAATTGTAAGGGGTTAACCTTGCATTTTCATCAAAATTGGGCAACATTTGACTTTTCTGGGAAATTTAAAATTGTAAGGCGTTAACCTTGCATTTTCAGCAAAATTGGGAAAATTTTTACTCTTCTGGGAAATAGTAAATTGTAAGGGGTTAACCTTGATTTTCATCAAAATTGGGCAAAATTGGACTCTTCTTGGAAATTTAAAATTGTAAGGGTTAGCCTTGCATTTTCAGCAAAATTGGGCAAAATTTGACTTTTCAGGGATATTTAATATTGTAAGGGGTTAACCTTGCATTTTCATCAAAATTGAGCAAAATTTGACTTTTCTGGGATATTTAGTATTGTAAGGGGTTAACCTTGCATTTTCATCAAAATTGGGCAAAATGTGACTTTGCAGGTAAATTTTAAATTGTAAGGGGTTAACCTTGCATTTTCATCAAAATTGGGAAAAATTTGACTTTTCTGGGAAATTAAAAATTGTAAGGGGTTAACCTTTCATTTTCATCAAAATTGGGCAAAATTTGACGTTTCAGGGGAATTTAATATTATAAGGGGTTAACCTTGCATTTTCATCAAAATTGAGCAAAATTTGACTTTTCTGGGAAATATAAAATTGTAAGGGGTTAACCTTGATTTTCATCAAAATTGGGCAAAATTTGAATCTTCAGGGAAATTTAAAATTGTAAGGGTTAGCCTTGCATTTTCAGCAAAATTGGGCAAAATTGGACTTTTCAGGGGAATTTAATATTATAAGGGGTTAACCTTGCATTTTCATCAAAATTGAGCAAAATTTGACTTTTCTGGGAAATTTAGTTTTGTAAGGGGTTAACCTTACATTTTCAGCAAAATTGGGAAAAAAATTTACTCTTCTGGGAAATATAAAATTGTAAGGGGTTAACCTTGCATTTTCATCAAAATTGGGAAAAATTTGACTTTTCTGGGAAATTTAAAATTGTAAGGGGTTAACCTTGCATTTTCATCAAAATTTGGCAAAATTTGACTTTTCTGGGAAATTTAAAATTGTAAGGCGTTAACCTTGCATTTTCAGCAAAATTTGGAAAAATTTTACTCTTCTGGGAAATATTAAATTGTAAGGGGTTAACCTTGATTTTCATCAAAATTGGGCAAAATTGGACTCTTCTGGGAAATTTAAAATTGTAAGGGTTAGCCTTTCATTTTCAGCAAAATTGGGCAAAATTTGACTTTTCTGGGAAATATAAAATTGTAAGGGGTTAACCTTGCATTTTCATCAAATTTGGGCAAAATTAGACTTTTCTGGGAAATTTAAAATTGTAATGGGTTAACCTTGATTTTCATCAAAATTGGGCAAAATTTGACTATTCAGGGATATTTAATTTTTTAAGGGGTTAACCTTGCTTTTTCATCAAAATTGAGCAAAATGTGACTTTTCTGGGAAATTAAGTATTGTAAGGGGTTAACCTTGCATTTTCATCAAAATTGGGCAAAATGTGACTTTTCAGGTAAATTTTTAATTGTACAGGTAAACCTTGCATTTTCATCAAAATTGGGCAAAATTTGACTTTTCTTGGAAATTTTTAATTGTAGAGGTAAACCTTGCATTTTCAGCAAAATTGGACAAATTTGACTTTTCTGGGAAATTGAAAATTGTAGAGGGTTAACCTTGCATTTTTATCAAAATTGGGCAAAATTTGACTTTTCTAGAAAATTCAATATTGTAAGGGGTTAACCTTGCATTTTCATCATAATTGGACAAATTTGACTTTTCTGGGAAATTTTAAATTATAAGGGGTTGACCTTGCATTTTCATCAAAATTTGGCAAAATTTGCATTTTCGGGATAGTTTGAAATTGAAAGGGGTTAACCTTGCATTTTCATCAAAATTGGGCAAAATTAGACTTTTCTGGGAAATTGAAAATTGTAGAGGGTTTACCTTGCATTTTTATCAAAATTGGGCAAAATTTGACTTTTCTGGAAAATTCAATATTGTAAGGGGTTAACCTTGCATTTTCATCATAATTGGACAAATTTGACTTTTCTGGGAAATTTAAAATTGTAAGGGGTTAACCTTGCATTTTCAGCAAAATTGGGCAAAATCTTACTCTTCTGGGAAATATAAAAATTGTAAGGGGTTAACCTTGATTTTCATCATAATTGGGCAAAATTTGACTCTTTTGGGAAATTTAAAATTGTAGGGGGTTAACCTTGCATTTTCATCAAAATTGGGCAAAATGTGACTTTTCTGGCCAAGGTCTTAACATTAAATTGAGATTCTGAAGGTCCTTTTTTGTATTGCTTTGATACTTGGTTTGAAGTTAGACCAGAGTGCCACACAGGTGGAGCAGATATTCAAAAATGGGCCGAACATAATTTATGTGATAAAGACTGTTACAAGATATTCTCTGGGAACACCAAACTTTTTTAAGCGACTAAGAATGTGGGGGTATCTGCTACCCTTAGAAATCATTTCTTGAACTTGGGTGTTCCATTTTAGGTTGTTCTGAATCCATACTCCAAGCAACTTTGTTTCTGTCACAACATCAAGTGTATTATCACCAATATACCAAGGAAGGTGGTTCAGGGAAATTTTTCTCACGGTAAAATTGCATAGTTTTGCACTTGGATGGGTTGAGATTAATGTTTTTAATGTCAGAAATTTTTTTCTTTGCAGTATATGCAAATTCTAAAAGCTGTAAATCATCAGAATTTATCAATAAATATAAAAAAAAACATGATTTTCAACTACAGAGGGCAGCATAGCCGGTTAACATTCAATGGCTCTTTTCAAACATAGAGGGCAGCACATATAATCAATGGAATTGGAAGGTGGCAGCACAGTATGTAAAGAAAGATGTGAAACATCGAACAAATGTTTTGAACATGCAGATATTTTTGTGAAACATAGCACAAAAAGATTGAACACTACGTATATATTTCAGTTGAAGTACATTTTTGGCACGATTAACCCTTGAGACATAATTATGCGTAATTTCGAAGGACCATCGACCATCTTTTTCTTGGGGATGCATGGATGTTAGGAACTTAGGGTGGGGTTGAGGAGCGGGGGGGGGGACTTTGTCGAATAATGCAAAAAGGTAATTATGTGGACAATATTTTGCAATTTTCCCCCATAATGAACTTGTAAAAGTGAGAAACCCTGAGATGTCGTTTAAAGCCTATACTGTCACCACTCTTTGACGTTCTTTTGGTTGAAGGTGCCCATAGCCATTACTGGCTGTAGGGGCAGTGGGATGTTAGAGGTCCACTGTGTCTTTGGTGCGGCATATGAGGGGCGGTGCCCAGTCCTCCTCTCTCGCCGTGTCATACCTTCCCTGAACGAATCAGGTACCCATTTTACTGTTGCGTCGTCAGAGAGAGTTTTCCAGTTTTTGGTCCGAATGAGATTCGAACCGCCAACCTTTCACTCCGTAGCTCCACGCTGTAACCGCTCGGCCCCTCTGTGTGTCAGTTTCTGAATCGATGATTTGTAAAACAAAGACGGTCACCAAGTTTTGAACTGGACATCGAGTGGGACCCCATTGCTCTATAATTTGCAATGGCGATGGGCTTCGTGACTACATTTTATATCATGCTTGTGTTTCTGAAAAATCGGAATGAAATTGGGTCACATTTACAGTGAGCTTAATTTGGTACACTTTTGTCGTCACTGGGGGAAAAAAATTATTAAAACTGAGATCCGATCATCGACGCACACTTTCCCTCTTTCAAGCGGTTCTTTGCGACCCGCAATGCAAAAATCGACCCATAATAAAACATCGGCATAAAATGTGATCAAAAATAGGCCCGTAGTAAAATCTACCCGGCTGAAACATAATAAGGCTTGGGCCCGTTAATGTAATAACTTTTTCAAAGTCAAAGCGCGAGGGCGCACTTTGCTGAAACCGGCCGTTTTAATTTTCAGGGATTGGTGCGTGCCGCGCCTCCTTGACCATAGAGGGCAGCAAACTATCTTCCAAAATGGCTCTTAAATTTTGACAGGACGACTCGCTGCCTCCCAGATCATTGTTTGTTTACCCTACTATAACTTAAGAAGAGCGATAGAGCCAAGGGTTTCCTTTTGTTTTCTCATTCACGAATAACGGCCGCTTGATTTTAAAGAGGCCAAAGCTTTAAGGGAGTGAGAATTGACGTCGACAACTCACAAAGGGGAACACCGGCAAAAATAAGAATGGAGGACTTTTTATTGCACCATTTGCATGAAGCCTCACCAAGTCCCGAAGACCAAGGGGGTTTAGAGGAGGACATCTTTGCCGACGTGCTTCAAGAATTGACTCTGGGATTTTGCTTTGAGATTCACCGCTCCTGTAAAATGGGACAACTGTTCCTGGACGAAACGGACGAGCCCAGCCTGAAATTTTATGAAATTGTCAATGAGCCAGGCAGAGACGTGTTTGGAAAGCCACCGCTGAAGAAGCAGATTGACTGCATCTGCCCCCACTGCAACCGGAATCTCTCGGCTTCGCGTTTCGCTCCGCATCTGGAAAAATGCATGGGTATGGGAAGGAACAGCAGCAGGCTCGCAAGCAAACGAATCGCCAACTCGGGCATGGGCAAGATGGACAGCGACAACGAAGACGACGATCGAGACTTGGACTGGTCATTTGCTTTTGACAAGAAAGTCACTAAGAAGTCCAAGAAAGACAAGGTCAGCAACAACTCACCGAGACGATCCAAGCCCAAAATTGGTACCAAAATGGGCGACTTTCCCTGCGGCGGCAGTTTGCCCTCGGAGTCCATGGCAGGTTCCATGACGAGCTACGCCTCCAAGAGTTTCTCCTCCGCCCCTTATGAGGGACTGTCACTGGAAGAAAGAAAGCGTCTGTTAATGTCCACCTGTGGAGTCATCTCGGAACACACCCATAAGATGTGCACCAAATCTCTCCGATGTCCCCAGCACACTGACGAACAACGACGAATCATCAGACGCTATCTTCTCAGGATTGATCCGGAGGGCAGACTGCGAATGAGACCGGATGGGAGCCTCGAAGCCGACGATATTCAAGTCGATATCGACGGTTACGAAGATGGTGACGGCCAAGCTCTGAGAGAAACCCTCAACAGAATACAGCAATGGGAAGGAAACACCTCATCGGCAAATCCCTCCCCGGCAGATTCTACTTCCACGACAAATTCTCAAGAAAAGAGGCGTAAAAAAGGAAGCGCAAAGCTCACCCAACGAAAAAAGAGCAAAGTCAAGCCTCCAGCATTACATGTAGTCTCATCTGCAGGATCCACATCGTCTTTCCTTTCATCATGCGCAGACACGCAGTTCCATATCCTAGACTAACTCCATGCTTTAGTAATAGTACAAGGGCTGTTGCAAGATTGTTAAGTGCAAAAATGGGCTTTCAAATTTGCACAGTATTTAAAGATGGTTGTCATGCATAGTAACATTTTCACAACGACAAGAGGGGGAGTCAAGTTTAAAAGGCCCATGAATTCATTTTGTTGCAATTCAAAAGAATGAAGTTCTTAACTTCCCCGTTTCTTGCCACTCCATGAGTTTTTCACATTTTTGGGGGTCCCTTTTGATGTTCATACTTATGGAAATAAGGTTATTCGCAAGCAAAACAGTAATGTTATATCATGGAGCTATAGCTCCACGGTTATATTAACAGGCTGAAGCTTTATAAAGTTTGTCTAAAAATGGTCACCGCAATTTTTGTTTCTGTTCCAAAGTTAATTTGTGCTCCTATGCTGTATGTTTGTATAGTGTATAACAGTTCGTAAACAAGGAAAAAAAATATTTAAAAGCCATCTTGTGATGAAAATCTAAAAACTGCAGAGTAATTGCCTGCATTGAAATCACAGCAAGAGCGCCCTTGGGTGTCAGAAAATGACCAATCAAATAGTGAAAAGTAATTTATATAAAAAATAAAAAAGGGTGTTGAAAATCAGAGGCATTGATATTTGCAGAGAATATGTTTTGAGTATGCAGTTAAAGGGAAGATACAACATTTGCAAACATCAAAAAATGAGGTGATCAAATTATCACGAAATACCTTACTGGATTGTTAGGGAAAGACAGTCTAAAGCATCCTGTAAACTTGTGGCTCTTGGTGTGCTGACATTTTCAAGAAAACTTGTATTTTTCCAACGCTGGTCGGCCGACCAGCGTTGGAGAAAACCGTCTTTTTTCAAAAACTGCTCCTAATTATTCATATTTAGTTATTCCACATTTTCTTTGCAATTGATTACACACCTGTGAAGGGGTACAAGCCTGCCAGACTGATCATCTGACCTTACAATTCCCAAAAGTCTACAAATTGCTCCGTTTCATTTTGAGTGGGGTCAGGGAACCAGACTACAAGAACATGATGGTTTTCTTGGTTTTTCCAGTATCTTCAAGCCCAAAACGTGAAATGTCAGTTTAATTATATTTGCTATAACGTTCTAATCCTCCAAATCCATTTATTTCTGAAAATTGCAGCAAAAGCAAATGTTGTACATTCCCTTGAATTTCATGGGTCCTCTTAATAAAAGGTGATTGGAATATTGAAACATATCTAGTAATATATATTTTGTGAGACTGCATATGTTGATGTTTGTGATCAGAAAGGACAAATGCATTCAAGCTGTTATGTGTGATACAAGCGCTCGTCTGTATGGCTGAACCGGGTGCCTGACCACTGATGTCAGGAACTGGTTCCAGATTATAGAATCCATTACCCATATTACCCAACTTTAAATATTACTTAGTAACCTCTCAGACTATGAAGGAAAAAAAAGGTTTTGAATGCCATTTGTGGAGAATTTTCAAAATGAAAACCAGGCTACATGGAAAAACAAAACAGATTCGTGTTTATGACGCTTGTGAAAAATGCAATTTACACTGTAAAGCTATATGTATTGAGCTCACTCTACACAAGTCTTGCATCCATAAGATGGAACTTTCTTGTATCTTGATGAGTTCTTGTTTCTTGAGAGTCTTGTATCTCTACCACTCTGCATGTTCAGCCGTGGGTGTCATACACATGTCAGGGCTGTGATTGGTCAGAACATTTAGGGGGCGGGGCTTAATGGAACAGCCTATTGACCTTTTCTGAACACTTTTTTTTTGCAATGAATATTTGTGATGATGTGATTGTCAAAACCAGTCTCTTCTGGGCAGCTGGTTGAAAAACAAATTGAAATATGAAAATATATTTAATTTTTGTTTAATTGACTTGCCTTCGCAAAATAAAAACTATTAAAAATTTGTAAATTTCAGCAACTTTTCCATCCAGATAGCCAAGAGGGATGCATTTCTTGAACTGAAACACCTCTTTAAATCATAAGGCAATCGTCGGGCAATGTTACGGTCTCGGATCATTAAAGTAAATCTTTATTCCTTCCCCCATCTCTGAAAAAAAAGGAAAATCAGACGAAAAAAATTACCTCACATTTTTAGGTCGTATCAGCATCTCAAGCTCTACCCAAAATGATCTGGTTTTGTCAGAATATATATTTAAAAAAAGAAGAATGGCTCTTTTTGTTCACTGTTCACAGAGGGCAGCAAATTCAATATTTGGGCAATTCCATGGTGTCATACATGTACATACTTTATTTAATCATAAAGTGGAATTTAATTCTAAAAAAAAATGTCAGTCCATACGATGATTTACAAAGAAATTATTCATCCAACATTTTTGCTGTACTTTGAAATCGGCTCGAAACTCCATAGAGTCAGACGTACTCAGACGAATTGATTTTTACATGTAGAAACAGTGTACTTATTAATTTGCCAGTTTAACGTAACAGCTTAACTGTTGGACATTGTTAGAAAATAGAAATAAAGATTTTTTTAATGAAATACAGATAAATAAGCTTCAAAACTGTTTCATTTGTGGCATTAGGATTTGTTTGAAGTTTTGGCATTGAGGTTTATAATTCCGTGGAATAGCCCATTTATAAATTCAACCTGGCCCTCTGGGTCATCAAAAGTGCGCCCTGGAGCACAACTTTCTGAGCACTAGCCCTGTTTTGTCAAGTTTTTTTGCAACTCTTGTTTGTTGTGAGAATCATTTCCTGAAGTGTCCCACACTGCAATTGGTGTTTGCTGCCCTCTGTTGACAACCATTTAGGCAGGCATGTGCACTATTATGTTTGGGGCTGAAAAAGCTGACAGTGTCAAATGATGGAAATTTTGACTTCCAGTTAAAAAAGGGCATAAAACTAATGTCGGCCTTGTGTATTGTGGTTCCTTTTTGATGGAGAATAATATTCCGTTTTTTTTTGCAAGGGAACGTATTGAGATATTTAAAAATTAAAATAAGCCACTTTTACTACCCTATTACCCAACTGAATCCTTGAAATTTCCAGATGACAAAGATGAAGTTCTAAGAAAATCAGTGAAAATTTAAATCAAATTCTACTTTCAATATGTGAAGTATTCATCAAACACTTGTCTATGATTGAAACTTTGAGTTTGAAATGTGAAGCTTATAAGTTGTGTCCTCATTCTATGGTTCGGGTTTCAACTCGAAAATAAAAAAATACATATATATATTTTTTTAATTTCCACACGTTTAATTATGGACGTTATTTTACAATTAATTTATGACAGATCTTTAATACATTAATGGTGCAAAATCAGGCTTTTAAAAAAAAAAGGTTGTAAATTAAAGATTGAAAATGCAGATTGGAAATTCATTAGGAGAGAAAAGTTTAATTTGTTGAAGAGAGTGGGGGGGGGGGGGGGGGCAAGGGCGGATCCAGGGGGGGGCCAAAGGGGGCCAAACGAAACCATTTTTTTTTTATGTGACATCGCAATAAAGGCAGGTAATGAGTATACACCACCATCTTTTCCTCAAACAAAAATTGGTTAAAGTGGTCAGAAATTGCCTCAGATCGCACCACAGAGCATCTAGAATCTAAAAATGTTTTTGGCCCCCCCAAAAAATTGTGTTCTGGATCCGCCCGGGGGGGGGGGGGGGGGGGACTTAAAAGATAAAACTAGAACATCCAGTATAATGAACGTTACAGTATACAAGTGACCTGTGTGTGTGTGGGGGGGGGGGGAGGGGGTAGCAAATGAAACTGGATGTTTCTGTTTGTAGTTTACTGACCTGATATTGGTGTATTGTATGTCCCAATACGTATGGAATAAACATAGTAAATGATAGTGGACTTGTGATGACCTTGCTTAAAATTTGCTTCTATCATAATTGTACTGAGAAGATATAAAGTAACAATAAAGCCTGGTGCATTTTTGTTTCCTTTTTTTGTTACAGAATGAATTAAAAGTTCATGTGAACAGTTCAAGTCAAAATCTGTCTCAAACTCTTTTACTCGTGAGTGTAAGAAAGCATTTACGCAGTTACTATTATGGATGTGATTTTATGATTTTAATTTCTGTATAATGGAACAGAAAGATTAAAAATGTTGGGAATATCTATTAAAAAGATTTTCATGTTTGCCTACTTACAATAGTCTCAGAAAACATGGCAGACAATGAACTTTTTTGCCCCTCCCCCACCCCCCCCCCCAAAAAAAGTGCTACATATCCGCTTACACTGTGCCTAGGATTTCGTGCCACATTTTCATTTTTTGAAGAAAAAAAAACCCACATTTGACTGAATTTGCCAGCAAGTTGGTAGTTCTATCTGGGACATAAAACAACCCCAATTTTATCTCAGCCATACCACTTGTGAGAAACATAAAATTGATTAAGACCAAGAAAAAATAATAATAATAACATTTAAATAATAAATCCATAACCATTTCTGTATTTTAAACAAGTTTTAGGCTTACAGAAGAAATTGACACACACAATCACAGTTGTTATTTGCTCAATTTTACAACATGTACTTGGTACAGTACCAATATTATTCAGCAATCTTGAACATTTTCTTTTAAAAAGATACGATTGTTGGTACTAACATAGATACTCTTTGTACAGTTATTCTCACTATTTATTTTTACATTGAAAAGCAATAGCTGAAAAGCAATAACCATTTGAGGTCATTTATAACGAGAGGTCATTCATAGAAATGGCATTTCATGCCGTTATACAATAAGTAACAACTCAACAAAAGTAGGCCAAGCTTCTTTTTAATTTGAAACTAGCTAGTTTCAAACTAGCTTTCCAGAGCACGCTGAGAAAAAAAAGAAGAAGAAAACAGAGTGACTGATCTACTCGACCAAAATAGATTTTGGCTTCAGACGGGTATTCAATACCTGTTAACTGTGGGGTTGTTTTGAACAACTTCAACAGTCGGTCTTTCAATGACTTGCGTGTGTAGTCACTCCTGAATGTAATTCATCGGTCTTTGATTTGAAAAATAAAGGTATTGCTCAACAGATTTCTACCTCGGATTTCACAGCAAACAAATTCCTGAAAATCACATTAAATTTGGAATCTTTCAAAGACTGAACGGCCAAATCAGTATTAAACTCTGTTTATAAAAAGACTAAGTACCTATTATTCAATGACACACTTTTGTTGAAGTAACTGCACAAAATGTGCAGCTGACCTGCCCGTCGTGGTGTTATATACCCTGAAAATAGAGTCATCATTAAATAATATCAACCAAAAAGTTTACAGGTGCAGAACAGAAGTCTATCTGGAAATCACTTTAAAAGGATACTTTTCTCTCACAGTAAAAATTTCTTTCTTGTTTGTTTGGTGTATTTTTTTTTGGGGGGGGGGGAATTCTTGGAATTACATGGACTGCTCTGTTGCCAGATTGTTCTTTGCAGGAAGCGACATCATGCCCAGCACAGTCTGAAAAAAATTAAAATAAAATAACACTGTCAGTTAGCAAAGAAACGGAAGATGTAAAACAAGTAAAACTACCTGCTACTTTCTACTGCTGGATGAATTTGTGGTAAGTTCTTATTGCTTAAATTTTTCCTGCCAAGTTCAACAGCTTTTCGTGCACTATGTCCCACAACAGCGTGGTTTGAGAGAATGTACAAGAGAATACAGTTTTTTTTCAAAATTCTTTGAGTTCATGACACTAAAAGTTCCATGAATGAGTAAGTCGGGGGTGAAATTGGGGGGAAAATGAAAAATTCATAAAATAATCGGCAGCGGTTTTGAGGGTCACTGCAGGCTACAGAGCAACATAAGGTCTTTGGTAAATGATTGTATTTTCCCAAAAGTCCCCCTTACAATACAAATTGTATTTGTTTTATATAAACTTTTAGTTTTATAGGAAGAAACACCTTTATGGTAAAACCTCAGGAAATCCAGATTTCAAACGAGATTCTTTAAAAGTTCCTAAATCAGGAAAAATCCTGACAAAAAATCCTGACAAATGTCATCCCTGCTAAGTTGGTTTTATTTTAATTTCTTAAACAAGAAAGTGTAAGTCTGTTTTCTGTGTGCAAGCTTGAAACTGTGAGTAGTGAAAACAAGCATATTCCATCCCCACAAAGATTACAGATATTATGTGGTGCAAAAAGTGGCAAAACTAAAATCTTTTTAAAAATGACCGAAGCATGCCACCATACAATACCTGTGTGAGTGAATACTCTGCTTCAGATAGTCTTTCAATCAGTTCAAAATGGTCCAATCCAGGAATCACCTCACATGTAGCATCCACGCCACCTTTGGAAAGTTCCTGGAATGGAGGTTATACAGGTGCATTCTACATCCTACATATTCCAAAGTTTCTGATTATGCATAAAGTAAATGATTTGATTAACTTGCCCCCCCCCCCCAAAAAAAAATTCTTTAACCCTCCTATGCAAACATGCATTCTGTGCCAAGTTGTCCTTTCAGTCAAAATCAACAGTCAAGATCTCCCAGCCTACATAAAGCAGGATTGACTGGCTGTGACTGTTTATGTAACTTGATACAGCTGTACTTTGACTGTGCCACCAATTTCCTGGTTTTTTTTGTCTGTTGACTGAATTTGACTAGTCAGAGTGCTTGCTTGAAATATGGTCCAACTAGCAGGGGAAGTGGATGGACATTTTGACTGTCTGTGACTGTTTGAATAGCAGGGGGTAATAAGTGGTTATACGGCACTTACTTTGGTGTAGTCTCTCATCATCTGATGGAATATTGGAGGGTCGTGCTCCCCACAGACGTTGATGATTTTACAGCGGGGGCACAGCCGGATTGCTTCCGACAGATTGGTGGGAATGATAGGGCTGACTTGGTAAGCTTGCTCACTGACACAAGAACAAAACACACAAGAAGATCTTGAGACTTGATTTGAGAGGAAATGGAGACTTGATTGGAAGAATCTAAGACGACTTGGAACTTGATTTTGGACTTGGGGAGTTTAGGTTTGAATTTAGAGGAAATTGAGACGGGGCTTGGATGTAACTTGAAACTGAACTCGAGATTAACTGTAAACTTTTAGCAGTTAACTCAAGACTGGAATCAAAAGAACAATTGAAGATTTGGAACTTGATTTAGAACTTTGGATGAGGCTAAGACTAAATTGGAGAGAAATATGAGACTGAACTTGAAAAGGACGTAACAACTTGAATTGGACAGTAACTTTTTGATGAACGTAATGAGCTGGTCTTCTGGATAAACTTGAAACTGGACTTGAGGCTGACTGAATTGGAAAGCACTTTGGATGACTTGGATTTTGATTTTGGACTTTGGAGGAACGTGAGGCTTGACTTGAGAGAAAACTGTGACAGAAGTTCCAAGCGAGTTGAGACTCAGAAGTGGATGAAATTGAAACTTGACTTTTGAGGAACTCCAGAGAGGATTGGAAAGAACTTGGGATACGACTTGAAGCTTGATTTAAGACTTTGGATGAACTTGAGGCTTGACGAGAGAGAAACGACAGACTGATCTTGGGAAGGCTTTATCACTTGACTTGCAAGTAACTTAGTTTGAATCAGAAGGAACTGGAATTTTCAAGAAATCTTAATTTTGAACTGGATCTGAAAAGACTTGAGGGCAACTCAACTTGGATGGAACTCAAGAACAACATGTGACTGGACTTCAAAAGAACTTGAGAATGAACTCAGAAAGAAGTGACTGAGATTGACTGGCTGACAAAAAAAGAGACTTGACTCAGGAAATATCACTGGACTTCAAAGGATTTCATGACTCGACTTAAAAAAAAATTGCAGAGGCTCATTAGCGCAACACGTTTAGATACTACACGGATATGTTTGAGAAAAGGCATTGGGTGGACTAGCTAGACTTTAAAAACTCAGTCAAATTGGACTTTGACTTAACCATCTCAAGACAACATAACCTCGAAAGCTATGTAAATACCGGAAGGTTTATAGTGAAGACAAATCGGGCAATTACTCACTCCGTCATGTGAAGAGGTTCATTAACGTAGGATCCGACCAACGGCCGGACATCAAACACCCCCGACACGAGACAAGCGCCTGTAAGAGTAAAACAAATGGTGCAAGACGGACACAAGATTGGAGGATTTGTACAACTCACAGCTAATTTGGGGTGTTATTGATGGGTAGTCAGAAAAGGCAGCTTATCACAAACTGTAAACTTTAAACTTCCTACTTTGTTTTTGAAAGTTACATTTTGGAAATTCTTGCTCGGGCAAATATTTTTCACCACTTCATACCTTTGATGAAATCTTTTGGCAGACCATACTTTTCTGACCAATCAACAGACAGCATCATAGCTCCAAGCTGACCCCCGGCTGAGTGACCAACGATGTAAAACCCTCTGAAAAAAATTCAAATTCACACGAAAATAAGTTCTGAAAAGATGAATTTTGGTCAATAATTATAAAATCTGTCTTCAGATAATCCAGTAGAAGCTTTTTGAAGGATTTTGCAGGATTGAGAAATGTAGAGCAAAACCTTGTGTTCTTGGGCAAGACACTTGACTACAATTGCCCCTTGCCACCCAAGAGTATAAATGGGTACCTGTGACGGTAGGGACCAGATTGCAAAGATCTCGAGCTGCTGCAGAAAAAATTGTCTCTTAGCATGCTGGACAGGGGTAATTGTGAGGCACTTTCAGACTGTTGGAATAAAAGCACTATATAAGGCCAAAAAAATAAATAAGTCGGTCTCTGGTCAGCGCGCGCGTCGATTTTAATCATGCGCGTCAATCTTTTTTTTTCTCTAAAATGTTCCGCGGTAGCTCCAACAGCGCCCTCTATTGCCGCACCTCCTCAATTTTTTTTACCAAAGAGCACCAAGGAATGGGAAATTGCACCAAGGCAAATGATCGAGAGCACCAAGGCAAATTATGGAGGACAACAATGTACATGAGGACACCAAAAAAAGCAAAATAGTACCCCACCTTGTCTGTACAATCCAAGCTTGAAGAAAAGAAAAAAAAAGCCGCGTCCCCGCGTCAATTCCGGAACTTTGGTTTGACCAGAGACCGAATTTTTTTTTTTTTGGCCTAAGCACCACATTATTATTATCTAGAAACTTTTTTACAGCTAACAGAAAAATTATAAAACTTCTCACTGAAGTTTTGAAAAAAAATTGACTTTCTAAAAAGTGCTAAACCTGAGAGACGAAAGTTATTATAGAATTTCTCAAACTCTGCATAAACAACAAATACCGCTCACTCATGGAGTGAATTTTGGCCAGTTCATACTTCCGCGAATGCAAATCGAATTTTGACGCCGCAAAATTCCACTGGGATTGAAATATGTTGACTTTTAGCGAATTCGCAGCGCAAAATTTAACTTACATCACAAGTTTGCACTTGTCACTTGCATTCATTTTCGCGCCGAGTATTAATCGGCCTTTACGTAGTATAGGCGCCGTCTGTAAATATTTTGGCTGCAATTATGCACAAAACGGATGAAAACTCAGCTTGTGCCTCTGCATATACGACGCGACAAAAATAATCTACAGATGCAAATGATAAATTGTACACGAGGGTCCAAATACAATTAAGTTAGCTGGACGTCATAGGAAAACATGACAATCCCATAAATGCTCGGCCACATTTTGATTAAAGCTTGAACATTTTTACATGTTAATCATTACTCACGTAGAAGCAAAAAAAACACCTGAAAAACAAAAACCTGGAAAATATTGATCTCAAATGGACTTTACTTTTGGTGACGGAAATGCATAACATACTGCATTTAAGGGCAATTCCATGATAACTCACGTTACGTTTAGAAGGGGTCTTTCGTCATTTTTGTACCATATTTCTATCCAGTCAAAGTATTTAGGGTGGATTTTTCTCATAGAAGATCCCTTGAAATTAAATGACTAAACTACAAAAAAAAGCAAATAAAACAAACTTCTGTTGGTTTGCCAGTTTTTTATCGGTAACTCACGTTACACAAATGGACATGGAAAATAATTCATTACTTTGCTTTGACAGTTTCCTCATACTGTGATTTGTTGGAAAAATCTTTTTGTGACCTTTATAATTATAGGGGATAAGTCATATGCTACCATAACAATTATTTTTAAAAATATCAATCATGAAATCTCTAGAGGGATATATTTTAGTGACTCACATTACGGTATAAACTCATCTTACAGTTTGCCCACTCATCTTTGGTACAAGATGAAACTTATAAGACAATATATTAACTCTTTTTTTTCTTGTTTCTTGGAAAAATTTTCAGTCTGCCTTCTGCATGTTTGCTGTCCAAAACCAGTTAACAGTCACACGGCTAACTTTAAATCTTTGATGTCCATGTACTGCATACTACGATTGTATAATGATCTATGAATTGATATGCATCACACTGAGCAAATCACTCGCTGACTCTGAGTTTGACAAAGTTGCAGCACTTTACCGATGTGCGTAATTAACTTCCATTAGCTGTAAGTGCTCCAAACACTGTCAAGCGAAATGGCCTGATCCCGGATGCAAGGAGGTCTAAAAGAGATATAATCTGTCAAAAGTAGAGCAGTAGGAACTGCAAATGCTAGATTGCAATGAAGAACAAAAAGAAACCATGCGTGTGTTTGAAAGGGATATTTGTTTATTTATGAAATATTAACTTGCACATTCATTTTGGGCTTGAAAACTAAGTGAAAGAAAACATAGGTTCAATTATGGAGGTACATGTACGTTTGACAATACTTTGTCCTGCGGCCATCAAATGAACAAAACCTATGTACGTGACTGCGATGAAGTAAACTCGATCAGTATTTTCTGGATGCTCCTCTTATTAGAAGTGCTGGGGCGGCTGTTGTAGAGTTCATGTAATTGTGGTGAGTAATATATAATAAAATTCATATTTTTAAAAAAGTATTTTCTTGTACGGAAATTTGCATATGGATTACTCAAATTGCATCATTGAGTTTTTAACCTTTCAAGAGTTTGTTTCGTTGACTGACAATTTCCTTTGAGGATAACAAGACTGCATAAAACTCTGAGAAAATCAGCCAGGAAAATGTCCTACAAGAATACAACCTCACTGAATGCAATTTCAGACTTAAATTTCATTTGGGATCGAAGATCTTAAAAGGGATTTTCAATCTGTGTGTGTGGACTTTTTGGCTTTTTCAATTGGGTACAATGGTTGAACATTTTATGGTTTATTCATTCCTACCCAACGGGAAAGAAAACGAAACATAATACATGTATAACCCTCTAAGATGGCTGCTGTGAGTAAGGTCTGCACTACACAAAGTAGAGAGAACCATTTTAACTTTGTCAATTTGTGTCAATTTTTAGGAAAAGCCTAGTAAAAAATAAATATAAAAATGCAACTTCATATTTGAAAGTTCAACTTCACACAAAATTTAGTCAGGAAATGACTGTGACGATACATATGGTCTAAATCCAGCCTAGAATATCATTAATGCTTGAAGCACAAAGAAAAACACAATTCTCTGTCTGACTCAATTTTAAAAGGAGAAATCATACTTCTGTTTCTATTTCATTTAATTTCAAAAATTCATCTATTATTGTCAGTCGTTGACAACCATGTTATGCGTACACTGACGTTTGTGATACCGTTTAACAGGGGCGAGTGGAGAGCAAAGCCGGAGGTTGGCCAAGAATTTAATTAGGGGCTCCGGAACAAGGTGAGCGTTTTTCGCCCGTTTTCAGGAAAGCTTGTGCAAAGGTTTGCCGATTCTACTAATTAGGTTGGCAGTGTATGGCAACTAGTGCCCAGTGATCTTTAAAAAACATGTTCGTATTTGTGCACTCCTGAACAACACTGTGAGGACATTATTAACAGAGATTTGTGTGAATACTGTGGCAAAAATCATTAAGCAGAAAACAAGCTTGGTATTTCGCTTTCCGCAGTGAAGAGCAAGAGAGACAAAGCAAGTCCAATCGAGACTGCCGTCGTTGTTTGTGGACGGAAGACACTTCTTGTTTTTATTCCTTCTCATCAACGGGACCACAGGAGAAAGAGAACTGGCACTCCAAGACGTACAGTTGAGTCCTGATCTCCCATCCTTCATTTCTACCAGACTACATTTGCCGCACTCATCAAACCTGCTAAGTCGGAACCAGACTGAAAATATTTTCATTTTCAACTTGAAGGAATAATGGAAAACTTCAATTTTGTTGCCAAGTCCAATGTCTTACTTTCAGACTAGTTTTAGAAGTTGTGACTATGTGCACATAGTTTCTATAGCTTGACCAATTATTTGTCTGTGATGGAATACTTAAGCACCGCAATGGATGAGACCAGAATTCACCATAACGTGACAGCAACAAGTGTTTCTGATGAGGCTACAGTGCAACATGCACCACTCATTGCTATGACGGTGTACATGGCATTCTTGTCCATCGCAGGCCTGTTGGGAAATATCTTGGTTGTTCTCTCTGTTGCCACGTCGCCCCGGCTACGCAACGCATCGTACGCCCTGATCGTCAACCTCAGCGTGGCTGATCTCACCGTAAACGTGCTCTCCATCCCGTTAATTTGCGTCTCCTTCTTCAACTACAACTGGCCGCGAGATCCTTTCTGGTGCCACGTCGTGTTTTACACCATCACGCTCTCGGTGGGTGTATCAATCATCAGCATTACACTGATCGCGGCCAACCGTTACATTCTTGTGGTGAAGTCGCGACGTTCATACCAAAAGTTCTGCGGACCCCGCATCTTGGCATTTCTTATCCCCTCCGTATGGGGGAGCTCCATTTTCATTGTTGCGCTGCCTGAGTTCGGTTTTGGAGTCATCACCTACGACCCTCTCCTTTGTCTCTGTTCGGTGGACAACTCAGACCTCCCAACGTTCTGGTACGCTGCAGGGCTCCTAATCTACGGCGCGTTCTCTGGTTTCATTTTAACGCCCTTCCTGTACTTTCTGACTTTCCGTGCTGTGAGACGAAGCAAGCAGCGCATCTGGGCCGCCCAGAACCACCCAGAAAGTAGCGGCAACAATGGCCACGCTCCGCACCAGAGGCGTGTCTTGCGACCTGCCGAGATCCGCCTGACCAAACTGATGGCCGTCATCTATCTAGCCATCATGGCCTGTTGGACCCCGCTCTCTGTGATCCATTTCTTCAAGCTGTCCTTCGACGTTTCCATCACGCTGCAGAGGCTGGCCCTTCTGCTCATGTTGACAAACTCCTCCATCAATCCTTACCTCTACGCCTGGCTGAACTCCAATTTCAGGAGAGCCTACAGGAGGATTTTATTTTGCGGTCAACAAAACGATGGCAGCAGCCTGAATGGTGCTGTCTGAATTTACTGTTTGCCATTATTATTTTGATATATCTTTTGACTTTTGATCCAAACACTTTTCACCGAGAACCATCCTTAACCCTAACCCACCTCAATCCCCCAAAATGCTCCTGGCGGTTTGGAGGATTTTAGAGGATTGAGGATGAATGGTGTTGAAGCACAGGAGGATTGAGGAAGATTGAGGATGAATAGTGTTTGAAGAGGAGGAGGATTTTGGAGACTTGAAGATGAATGCATTTTTTGAGGCAGGACTGTCTGACAGTTTTGAAAGATTGAGGCACTGGGTGTCCTTCATTAGAACATAAGTGTAAAATTATTGAGGATGGTTCCTAGCAAAAAGGGCCTAGGGGGTTAGGGTTAATCTCAGAATCTCAGAAGTAAAGAAGTAACCATCCTTAATCTGAGAATGTTTTCTAATGACAAAAAAAAATCTTAATGATACAGGTTACCAACAAAAATCAAACATTTTTCAAAGCAGCTCCATAATGTTGGGCCCACGTGTTGAATTTGGAAAGGTATGGGAGGTGAAAACAGAAATAAATTGGACCAACAGTCAATTCTCCTTATGAATTCAACTTTTAACATTCAAAATATAACGATGGTTTTGGAACAGAAACAGTGCAAATTGAAGATAGTGTCAATGAAAATTAATTTGAAAACCAATTTGCACTTAATTTTTTACAAGTTGTCACTCGACCAAAGTAAAAAAATACTGATCTCACTCACATCAGCGAATGTTCTTATTCAAAATGGAGGACTCTGTTTGCTATGGAGTCTAAAGATGCGGCAGCATCATAAACCACAGACCAATTCAATAAAAAATATCAAATTCTTCAATTTGGATAATCGTACTTAAGACTAAACGGTACTAATAAATACCTAAGACAGTTTGACTATTTCTATTGGTTGAGAGACTGTGGGTGGTTCTAAACTGCTGATAAACACCGCTGCATTCTGCGCCACATCACATAATATGCGCCGCGTGCGCACAAATCTCCATTGTAGGAGGTATTTAGCACTACGCGCGAGGTACATACATGTACAACAGACATGGCGGGAGGGGTGCTCCAAAAAAACATGAAGTAAAATTGTTGAACAAAAATGTTGGAAATTTGCGAATTTGTGACTTGTCTTGTCTTTTTGGACAGAAAAGGTATTCATGATTGGGAATTTTAGCTCGGACCATTATCCGCATCCAAGCCCTTAGCCGGTTTTAAATGCACATATTTATTCCCTTTAATTTAAAGCAACTTAGTACATGTAGATGGGCATTACACAGATTTCTGTTGCCGCTTCAATTTGTTGAGAGTGCACGCTAGGAAACTTATTAAACTGGCGTACCGCGTTGCTATGGTATTTGGTGATGCGCATGTATCCTAGCTGTAAGTTGATGTACAGGAAACACAAACAGATGAAAATGTCCTTTGCGTGTCCACGTAAACGCAATCAAATGACATTTTGTACAAAAACAACAAACAATCGGGAAGGCTTTTATGATTGTAATATACATGTATCCATTGTTTTCATCAGTGCTGACACGGACTGCCACTATCAGATTGTATTTCGGAATTGGGTTGAAAAGAATTAAAAACTTGAGGCCAAATTATATTTCCTGTGAATACGTGTTGGAATATTCCCGACCATATCACTGATAAGAACCATATGCCAAGTCAATATGCCAAGCGACATCCACCATCGCCACGTTTCCAAATTAATCTTTACAGTGCCGTCGTCAGCTCTGTGCATTAGTGGGCACACTACGATAAAAAATACAAAAATACATATGTATGGCTTTTGCCGATGGGGCAAGGGGGGGGGGGGAGGGGGGGGAGCCCATTGCTTGCCGGGGGGGGGGGGGGGGGGGGGGGCATTGCTTGCCTGGGAGGGGGGGCATTGCTTGCCAGGGTGGCCCAGCCCCACCAGGCCCCCCTCCCCTTTCGCGACAGGCCTTAATCTTTGTAGTGATGAAATCTCACAGACAACATTGTGTTCAATGCTTTTGCATTTGTGACAAAGTGAGAGCTCATCACCAGAGAGCGATTCACCTTGACATTCTGGACATCAAATAAAAAGGCCCCTTGCATGTGATGTTTCAAATGCATTTTCGAATTACGGTTGCCACTTTTGGTTTAAATAACCAGTAAGCCGACTGTCAATGCCGCTACAACAAGATTGCCAGCAAGATGTGACTTCAGCAAAATCCAACATTTGGAGCTCAAGTAGTCAGTATATTTTAAATGGTGGGAACAAGTGTTTTTTAAAAAGTAATAACCAATTCTCAAATCAGACTGATTGATTTACTTGAAAGGAAAAAAAAGATGGATGTTAGAGTTACATGTATAGGACTGTTTGCATCAATTCATTTCAAGCATCTCCTTTCAGCCGCTTGCAGTGACTTGCAGCAGTGGCTCACTGGCTATGCACAAAGCACATGTAATTAGAACTGATATGAGTGACTATCTAAAGCCACTTAATCGTCCAAGCAGCAAAAATCTTTCATTATTACGTGGACATACCAAAGATTAACGTGGGCTTGGATATATGCAGCATTTATTCCAATACCACACATGAAATCTGAAGCTAATATTGACCGCAATGAATTTTTTTTTTATATAGATGCAATCAACATGATGGATGGGATGATGAGATGAATTCCATTAATTACGCATGGTAACTGCAAACAGATCGAGGCAGCCACTTTAGTTTATGAAATTCAGTTTCATACTAACAGGTCCTGGTTCTGTAAATTGAACCCTTGATCTCTAAGTACTATTGACACACACATTCATTTTACAATATGGATACGTATACCATAGGCTCCGTGCGTGGACAAGAGAGGGCGCTGTTTGACTACTTTCGTGCACATACTGCTTCGCGTACGAATGGTACGAAGTACACACGAGTCACGACTTATCTTATTCTGAATGTGCAAAAAGCTATACATGTAGTGTCTGCGCCTGTGCGTCAGGCATTGTTGGCGATGCGTTTGAATGCCTCTACAAGTGGTCTCCCCCAACTCTCCTTTTCTTACCGTTGAGGGGGTACTTGTGCACCGAGTCAATATATGGCCAAGTTCGGGCAAGGACCATTAGTCGACGAGTGGTTGATTTGTGACGTACCTTACGCCTGCGCACTGATAGCGACGTGCGAACGTCTCTAGTCAAAATGTCATCGCAAAACTTCTGGATCCTGGCTCTCTGCTAGCGTTATGAATGCGCGCGGCTATTTGTTACCAGCGAAGCAACCAACCCCAGTAGGCTGGTTCCAAATAGTCGACAAGCATAGTCAACCACCGTCGACTAGACAGAGTTCGGGCAAACGTTAGTTTACCATTGGTCAACTATAGTCCTTGCGCGAACTTGGCCTATACTGAAGTCATGACAGTAAATCAGGATCACAGAGGAAACTTTCACCCAATTGTAGTCTGTGACAGACCTGTGCACCCAGGACATACAAACAAATATTAGTCTGTTGGGGCTGGCAATGAGTGCTGCCCACTTAACAAGTGCAGGAACCTTGACAAATCTTATTTAAGTGTTTGTAATTGGGGACAAATGTTGACAGGTGCGGCAGGATTTCCTTTATAAAGTTCATCTCCCCATGTTATTTAAAAAAAAATGATTGCTTGCTTTTATACGCTCTAAATTCTGTTAAAAGTTCACAGTTATCAACATTTCAAGGCCTTTAAAGGTTCTTGATTTGAAGTGGTGCAAATGAAAGGTGCCAATTACGTTTCCTTAAAAACACTTTATTCTATGATTTTTATACTATTTTTGTTTTAAAAATATGCAGTAGACATATCAAATATGACAAAAATCAGTAAATCTGAAAATCAAAAAAAATCATTTCGATACTTTTTAAAAAAATTTCTGCACTGAACCTGCACTCAGTTTCGTCTCATTTTGCCAGACCGCCTCACAATTAAAATATTTGTAGTAATTTTTTGCAAAATGAGTGACCTTTCCCAAATTTTCATGCTGCAATTTTATCAGAGCTATTCCTCATTAATCATTCATAACTCCCTACAGCTGACGCTGTGATAACGTAATCACTGTGTGACGAGTCATTTATTCCAAAACCAAAAGACCATTTCAAATAAACTTTGTTGAAATTGTAACAGCTGTTGCAATTAAGAAAAGAAACTGCAATTAAAACTGTTAATTGGAAAACCTTTCAGTATAAGTGTTTTATTAAGAATTTTACTTTGTGGTAATAATAACTGGTATTTATAAAGCACCTTTGCCAAAGGATGCAAAAAGCTAATTATTACTAAATTAGAGAAACAAAAAAAAAAGTTAGCTATAAAGTACATGTTTCTTGCTAAGCAACTAAAAAAAAAACCAGTTGGTAAGTAACACAAGCACTGTAAATTACAGCATTTTAGATGGTAACATATTTTTTTCCTAATAAGCATTTTTAATTCCTAGCATGAAGTAGCTTCTGACTTTGAAAGTTAACAAAATCCTAAAGAAAACATTAAAAATATTGCATAATTAGACTACAGCTCTTACACGTAAATGCTTGCCGAATATTAGCAGATAACAGTGACGACTTCCAACCAATGAGAACGAAAATTCTTTTGTCGTTAAATTAAACTAATAAGATGGTCACAGGCTTGGAATGCCATACTACCAGACCAGGGGCATCAATCACTTCTCAAAAGTGGGGGGGGGGGGAACAAACCTTGATCAAAACTGATGCGAGTGCGAAGCCCTTACGATGTGGGGTTCGGGGCCCGCTTAAGGGCCCCGAAAAAAATTTGGATTCTGGATGCTCTGAGGCAATTTCTTACCACTTTCCTCCATGCTTTAACTAATATTTTCTTAGCAAAGGATAATTATTTGAACATCATTTTCGAGGTTAGAGTCATTGAATCAGCTACCGGTATTCTGAGCTATAGGCATGTGGTTAGGAGCCTGCTTAAGGGCCCCGAAAAAAAAAATGATTCTAGATGCTCTGTGGTGCGATCTGAGGCAATTTCTGACCACTTTAACCAATATTTTCTTTAAAAGATAATAATTTAAACATCATTTTCAAGGTTATCTCAGCTAAAGTGCATAGGGTTCAGGGCCCGCTTAGTAAGTGCCCCGAAAAGTTTTGGATTATAAATGCTCTGTGGTGCGATCTGAGGCAATGTCTGACCACTTTAACCAATATTTTCTTTAAAAGATAATAATTTAAACATCATTTTCAAGGTTTTCTCAGCTAAAGTGCATAGGGTTCGGGGCCCGCTTAGTAAGTGCCCCCGAAAAATTTTGGATTATAAATGCTCTGTGGTGCGATCTGAGGCAATTTTTGACCACGTTAACCAATATTTTTTAAGCAAAAGATACACTGTAGTATATAATAGGGCCCTGTAAATGATACTTCCATTGGCCATCTATTCTCAAGTGTTTCTATTTTAATGTTTGAAAATAAAAATTGTAACCGGTTATGCATAGAGCAAGGCGTTATGGTGAACACAGAATGCGAAACCGGGAGTTTTTAATGGACCACGTAGGAATCAGGCATGATTGATGATATGAAGACCATTCAGATGAAAACAGAACACTTAGTGGGTATTAAATTTGGGAGCGGAAGTTCACCGCCTCGCGCCGCTAAATCAAATTCGATCAGTTACGCTGCATTTATACAATCATTTGGAGTACCCTGAACATGTACGAAAGCGACAAACGGAGCACGGGCATGCAGATATGCTCAGTGGGCAGAGGCAGAAAACGTGACATGAAGCTGCTTGAGTAAGTTGTCAATCGCACCTTCATATTACTGTGACGGTGACTTCAGACGACCGTGGGAAAAAGCGTGAAAGAACACGGCTGCTTTTTGTTTGCTGTGGACTCGCACCTAATTTGTTATCACAACCAAATAACGAGGAGCTGGCATAGGCAGTCAATTTCACCGTTCAGACAAACGTAGCGCAGTCAATGTCAAGAGTGACGGTCTACTTTGTTCACTGCCAGAGTGACATTTAATCAATGTGCACTCTGAAATTTGTTGCATTTTACCACACTGCGTAAAACGCACAAGATGGACTGATGCCTAAACAGGCACGTATGCATTTGCTGTGTGCTGGCACTCCTGCTTCAGATTAAATGTGATGCTTCTAGGTACTTTGACGCATAACTGCCGGACGGTTTACAGTCTGATGGTAGAATAGAGAGCAATTCTGAACTGGTGCTAGAACAAACCTATTGAAGTGACTATGGGCGACTTCAATGACACCACTCCTTCCTTGCCACTGGATGATCACATCGAGACAGAAATCCCAGCACTGGTTGCCATGACAGTGTACCTGCTCTTCTTAGCAATCACAGGACTTGCAGGCAACCTCCTTGTCATCATCTCCGTTGCGATCTCGCCCCGGCTCCGGACCACCTCCTTTGCCTTCGTCTTCAATCTCAGTGTCGCCGACCTCATGGTGAACGTTCTCGTCATCCCACTCATCATCAAATCGTTCTTTGACTATGGATGGCCCCACAACCCTTTGGGCTGCCGTCTGGTCTTTTACATCCTCGCATTCGCAGTCGGGAATTCCCTCATCACTTTAACTGCCATCGCTGCAAGCCGGTACTGCTTTGTGTCGCGCCCTCGAAGGACCTACAACATCTTCTGTGGCTGGAAGGCCGTCATCTTGATCCTGATTTACAACTATCTGAGCGGAGTCACGTTCATCCTGATCACGGAGCTGGCCAACATCTGCACCATCCGCTACCTCCCGGACATCCGATTCTGCTACCTGGACAACGATCTGGCCACGTTCTGGTACATCAATGGAATCCTCTTCTATGGCGCCCTCACCTGTTTCCTCCTCATCCCGCTCCTGTACTGCCAGACATTTCGCACGGTGCGGCAGAGCAAGCATCGGGTCTGGGCAGCCCGCGTCGCTCAGCAGCCCACGGTGGCTCTCTATGGAGGCCGGCCGCCCGTGGTGCACCCAGCAGAGATCCGACTGACCAAGATGATGCTTCTCATCTTCATCCTCCTCCTCATCTGCTGGACGCCCATCTCTGTCCTTCACTTCTTCAAGCACCGGTTCAGCATCCCCAAATCCATCCATCGACTTTGCATCATGCTTGTCCTGACCAACTCATCCATCAACCCGTATGTCTACGCCTGGTTCAACAAGAACTTCCTGCATGCTTACAAGCGTATCCTGCACTTGGATCAGTGCACAAGAAGCCATAGTCAGTGAAATCAGTGAGATACTACTCTTGCTCTTGAAAATCAAGTTCCATTGCTTCCTGAGTTTGACCAAATTTAGGATCCAATTGGCAAGATACCCAACAAGAACTGGGGAAAAGACATTTAACATGAGCACTCATAAGTCGGAGGTCTTGGGTTCGAGTCACGCCTGTCCAGCCTGTTTTCCTCACCCGCCTTCTGACATAACTAAGAAATGGTACTTGTGGTACCAACACTGTATTTCTAACCTCCAGTTTTAATCTAAAATTAAACTTTCAAAGACAAAATGTGATTTTCAGTACGTGTGAACACACATAAAATGTATTTGTAAAAATAATAAGAACACAGGGAGTGAAATATTAGAACATTCAAAGTTTGCTTTTTTTAAAGCTCATGAAGACAAATGACAGACATTATAGACTGATTTAATAAGTGGTTGAGTATTGATGCTGATTTCTATGAACTGTACTGATCAATGAGAAAAGCTTTGCAACCATTGAAATATTAAAACCAGGTGGTTTCCATAGCTCTTGTAGACAGCAGTTTGTAACATATAAACCCCAAACGAGTGACAAGACACAAAATACTGTAATGTGGTTAAAAAAAAATAAAATTCTTTCCATCCTCAAAACGTGTTGTACATTTGAAACCGCATGCATGCTACAACTAGGGTATAAGCACTGTCCATATATCGATATTACTCGATATTATTTTGATAACGATATCAGGGACAGCAATTTTTTAATCATATATCGAAATATCGAAAATTCTGATATTGAGATATGATATCGAAAATATCGAAATGTGTCAGATTATGTCAAAATAAATCTCCTGTTTGTCCTTTACTCTGTGTTGAATGTTTGCTGTATAATGAAATAAAACTCGGCGGCAACTTGTGCTTGTGACTGAAAATAAAAACAACAGGAAATGCCAAGCAGCAAAGGCTATGTGCTCTGCCTCTGCGTTCGCTGGAATTCGCGGTCTCCCTAATGAAAAACCTCAAAAGAAACCGCCCGTTCTGGACAAAGTCTCAGTGCTGAGATTTGTTTTAAAAGCTTCAGCAATATGCTGTGGAGAAAGCCATTGGAAAAATTAGGGCTTCAGATTTGTTTTGTTTTGTTTTTGCTTGAAGAAGTTCCGTTTTCTGTAATTTTTCCACATTTCCTTTAACTTTTACATGGGATAATTGAAAAATCAAATTCTCGAGATTGGATTTCCGATATATCAATTATTAAAAAATTTGATATCGACGGTGCTTAAACTAGGGTGAAACCAAAAAATGTGCTTCAGCCTAAAGATAAATTTCCATCTGAAGAAAATAAAGATAGAAAACAAAAATAACCTTCAATTTTAACTCCAAACAAGAATTAAAAAAACCCAACAAAATCTACTCAATATTTTTTTAAAATCAAATAGAGGGAAGCTGACTCGGCGCATACATAAAATATTTATAAAGTTGAACAAAGAAATTGACTGGAGCAGGTTTAGAACCTCCGACCTCTGGGTAACCAGACGTTCAAAAATTTCCCGTAATCAAACAATTTTTAATTTCAGGGCTTTTCTGACATGTTTGACGTTTGATTTTCTCAAAAACCTGCTGCCGTGCACTTGTGTTTTAGTGTACTATTTGTTTCTGTACGCAACTTGACAACGAAGTTGTTGAAAGTTTCATTCAATTTGAAATATTAACATTCCAGCTTTCTACCGTATGCAGCGTAATACCTAAAATGATAATTTGTTAAATTTCTTTAATAGTTACTTTGCAATCAGTCAACCAATTTTGCTAAATTATCATTAAATGAAGTATTGCTATGCTTTCAGGGCATACACTTTTTTTAGGGGGGGTTAAAGAGAAATTAGCATAAGGACAATTTTGGGGTGTGCATTGTTTTTGGGGTTTTTTTTGGCAAGCTATAATTCCATCAAGTTTTAAAGCTTTGTGTAGATACTGCAAGATTTTAACATTCTACTCATGACCTATAAATGCACTATTTTGCAAAAACGCTTGAAGCAGATCAATAAAGATTGGTTTTAACTAGTATCCAAAGAAGTGCTGAAATTGTTCACCCAATCACCGCCCAAATTTCTGTGATGCACAGTCAGAAAATACTCAGCACGTAATTGTCCAACACACGCACACACACACACAAGTGTGTATTTGCCTGCAATCGGGACCCCCTATTGTCCCTCTTTTGGTTGTACTCTCACTTTTTAGGAAGACCTCCCATATGTTTTGTACACATCGCCAAATTGGGGACCTCCGGGAATTGGGGACCTCCGGGAATTAGGGACCATTTTGTCCTAGATTGTTCAACGTCCACTATTGAATGCAGAAACAAACTCATACACACCATGATTGGCATTCGCGCATACTCCAAAACTTGGTTTCTTGCACTAAAGGGCAGGACAACTCGTCAAAGCGTATACATGTAGCAACAAATCAAATTTAAGAAGCATGAAGTGAGGCAACTATTCTCGTCTTTGTGGCCAGGTCTCCACTTAACTATCCGGAAAATAAAAGAAACAAAAAAGGGACGCCCTGTGGATGAAACCACGCCAAACTGTTGTAAAGCTGTCAGATTCAGGAACGGATCCCGGGAAACTTTGTGTGAAGTGTAGGAGGGGAATTCAGTCTTGTACCAAAAACAGTGAGGCTACTTCAGTTGTGTGATGTTACAAAACGTCTTCCGACTTTATTACAACTGTGCCACAATTACAATGTACATCTTCTCTCTTCCATCGCCAAAAACCAACTCCCTTCCAAAATTCTTTTAAATCACAGAAAACAAATTTCTTTCCCAAAATATTATTATCGAAGTACTTTAGCGTACGCATGCGTGCACGCGCATGCACTTATGTAACGCAGCTGTTCACGTGCACACCTGTTTTTGTGCTCACTGTTCACGTGCCATGCATAATTATAATTACTTTCCACGTCACTACACTGTCTCTTTCCCAGTGCACATGTCACTCTATTAACATCACGACAACGACCCACTTCTTACCCTACTCCCCCACCCCCTGGATACTTTCTTTTAGTAAACAGTTGATGTATGACCAGTAACTGCGTGATTACCTGACTATTAGGGTTTATCTTTATAAACCATCCGTGCTTTCATGGTTCAAATTAGAATCAAATTTCCATTGAGCCTGGTATAGCTAATGATTGGAGAAAACAAAGTACATGTACCCTATTGGAAATACTGTATAAGACAGGCATAACATGTAGGTTGTCATTTAATCAAGTTTAATACGGGGGGAAATGATACCAGTATCAACCTAGAGCATTAATACATCACTTTATCATCACGAAGGAACGGGGCAGGGGAAATTTGTCAAGATTAGTTTGGACTGGAAAGTCAAAGGCTTCTCACTTGTTACTCATTAAACGTTGAGAGTTAACAAAACGGGGAGTGTTCCAGTTGCACAGCATATCATGCCACTTCTCTCTCTAAAACCCAGTAAACTTGCACCAGCAATTCCACAGTTGGTTGGTAACAGTATATCCCTGCTTCCGACATGGGAATGTTACTGTTTGCAGTTCACGGTCTGCTGAGACACGAGCAGATACATAATTAAGTTTTCAAGCACTTAATTTGGATTTGGGTGGATTCTTCTTGAGTTTTGGGGGTTTTTTTGGGGGGGGGAAGCAACACGCTTCTATATTTGACTAGACTATAAGGATTGTGAGCGGATAGACAAGTGTGATCAGTGTTCTGACAGCAAGCCCATGATAAGCATCTTTCTGTGGTGAAGAAAGACACAAAAGAACAAGATAATAACACTCACACCAAATTACAGTGTTCGTTGAGATTTCAACTGTGTTGTCATCAGTGCATCATAGCATTTGAGAAGTGCTTAATGGCATTTTCTGAGCAGGAATGGAAATCATGTTGGATGAGGGGAACATGAACGAGTCACAACCGCCTACTACGACAACGGACACACTGGCAGATGATCTTCCCGCACTGGTTGCCATGACGGTATACATGTCACTGTTGGCAATCATGGGCCTCATCGGGAACATCCTTGTCATCGTGTCCGTGGCTATTTCGCCCCGCCTCCGGACCACCTCCTACGCGTTCATCGTCAACCTCAGTGTGACTGACCTCGCGGTAAATGTCCTGGTCATTCCAGTCATGACAGTGTCCTTCTACAACTACGGCTGGCCCCACATCCCATTCTGGTGTCGCTTCGTTGCCTACATCTTCTGCCTATCCATTGGCATCTCCTTCGTGACCCTAACCATGATTGCTGCGAATCGTTACAGTCTAGTCTCCTGCTCCCGGAGAGTCCGCCTCAAGTACTGTGGCTGGAAGGGAACCACCCTCTGTCTTTTCTTTAACTGGTTCTCTGCTTTCTGTTTGGTCCTCTTCCAAGAGTTTTACTACAAGGCTACTGTCCGCTATGACACAGTTCTCCGCTTCTGCTACCCAGACAGCAGTGAACCCGCCACCTACTGGTACCTAAGCGCCATCTTAATCTACGGCACACTAATCGGATTCATCCTCATTCCGATACTGTACTGTAAGACGTTCCACTCCTTGCAGGTCAGCCGGAGGCGCACCGAGACATGGGCCCGGCCAGCTGGGAAGACAAGACCCAGGAAACAGAACAATCAATCGCAGCGCAGGGTGCACCCGGCTGAGGTGAAACTCACCAAGCTAATGGCCGTCATCTTCACTGTCATCATCATCTGCTGGACCCCTCTCTGGGTGGTGCACTTCTTCAAGTTGACCTATGACATCCCAAAAGGGGTGGAACGCTTATGCATCCTACTTGTTCTGACAAACTCCTCCATCAACCCTTACCTGTACGCTTGGCTCAATAAGAATTTCCTTCGCGCCTACAAGAAAGTCTTACTCTGTGGCAGAAATCGTAAGGTAAACAGCCTTGATATTGTTGTGTAGAGGGAGACATCAGAGTTCTTGAAAGTTTCATTCAATTTGAAATTAACATTCCAACTTTGTACCGTATGCAGAGTAATAATTGAAATGATAATTTGCTCAATTTCTTTGCAATCAGTCAACCTGTAATGGTTTTAAAGTTGGTAAATTATCATTAAATGAAGACTGGGAAACAATAACTGAATTATGAGTGAGTTGTATTATATAATTGTACAACTTTTGTGTGATGTTATGTATGGTTTCAAGGCATACAATTTTTTGTTGGAAGGGGGTTGTGAAGAGAAATTAGCACAATGAAAATGTAGGGGTGCATTGCTTTTTTGGGGGCAGGCTTAAGTAGAAAACATTCGTATAATTTCATCAATTCTAAAAGCTTTGTGAAGATACTGCTAGGTTCTAAAATTCTTTTCACAACCTACAAATGCACTTATTTGCAAAAACACTGGAAGCAGATCAATAAAGATTGGTTTTAACTAACTATTCAAAGAAGTGCAGAAATTATTCACCCAATCACCGCCCCAATTTCTGTGATGCAGAGTCAGAAAATACTCAGCACGTAATTGTCCGACACACGCACACACACACACACAATGGCAGCGTTTTCCGCATTGGCATATACTCCAAAGCTTGGCTAATTACACTACATGGACTGATGAATCGTTGCAGCATATAGCAACAACTCAAATGTAAGAAGCATAAAGTGAGACACCCTTTGGATGAAACCACACCAAACAGTCACATTGATTAGTGAGGTACCTTAGTGAAAAAATCGTGACACAGTGGACAAAAGCACCATTTTTTCACCAAAGCATCTCCATGGTATACCTTTTCGAAAAAAAGACGGACGCAAAAAATTGGACGATGGGAAGGGCATGTATGACGTCATTATGACGTCATCAGCTAATTATTACATGAAATATATATAAATTGATAATATCTTCTGAACTACAACCGTCACAACAACAAAAGTCGCATCAAATGAAAGGGAACAACAAGATCTTTCATTTGAGTGGTATGTCAGGAGCGTGGAATGTAGTAAAGGGTGGTTTTTGGGGCCAAAAAGCACTTTTTTGGTCAAAAAACCTGATTTTTGGCTAAAATCATGTATTTTTGTTTGGCACCTTGTTTAACATGCAAACCGTATTTGTTATTGTGAGATTTTGTTCTGAAGTCAGAGAAAAAGGTTCAAATTCTATGCCAAAAGAGTTTTTGCAATTGATTATTATTTTTTATAATTGATTATTAGTATCTTAAATGCTTACACTTGTTCCTTAGATAGGTGGAAAAACTGCAGTTACCGTAAGGAAAGTTATCACCATTTTAGGGTATGGGCCAAAATGGGACTTAAGATTTCCTGTATTACCTTGATAAGGCCCAAAAAATAGTTCTGCTTCCCATTACATGGCATTTGAAAACAGGGTTGGTAGGTAAGGATTTTTTTGTTTGTGTACAATCATATATGGAAGCGTCTGCGCTTAGTCAAGGGTGAAAGGGAGAAATTGATTGTTTTGGTTTTTTTTCTCATTTTTCCCATAAAACAAATTAGAGTAGGGGCTGTCAGAATAGGGTAGGTAGGGAAGCCGGAAGCAGAACAGTTTACTATCATATTTTTTGGCCTAATACATAGTTTAGTTACCAGCAAATAGATGGTATGCATTACTTTTATCAATGCATGTCCAGTTTGAGGAGACTTTTGAATCAAGACCTCCAACAAATCATGCATAGGCCTACGTTCTTTTTATATATCGAAAGTAAAAAAGCTTAAACTGTTGTGCAACAGCCCACAAATAAAAGCTTACCACTTTGTATTCATTATGTTGAAATTGATTTTTGAAACCAATGCATTTAGTGGTGAGACTCCTTTTTGCGTCTCAAAGTGCCTGAAAATGTAAAGTTGTCGTGGAATCGCACATAAACAATCAGAATAAGTCAGGAGTAAGCCTAATCCATTTGGGGTCAAATCGGTTAGGATGTGCTGGGATGAAATGGAGAAATGAGCAGCCCTATCTCCACTGAAGTACTCCATTGCATAGCACAGCGTCTCAACATTATCATCTTCCAATAAAATTCTAAGGACCAGTTCTACGAGGAACTCAACACCACCATCAGAGGTATCCCTGTCGTAGAACAACTGTACCTCCTTGGCGAATTCAACGCCCGAGTGGGATCTGACCACAACTCCTGCCCAGCTGCATCACTCACGTTGGCGTTGGCAAGCTAACTGAGAACGGGCAGAGGCTGCAGAAGCACCTCAGATCCCGTCACTGGCTTCAGCTTCGTCTCATCATCACAGGAAGACCCTCACGAAACTGCGTTCTCATCACACGCAGCGCTGACTGTAATACAGACCACTCCCAAATAAACAGATCCACCGCTCAAGGCAAAAAAGACGCCCATACTTCAAACGTCGCCAGGACGTCAATCCCAGATCTGTGCAACACGAGGAATCTCCCTCCTCGGTATCGTTAAGAAGGCCTTTGCCCTTGTAGTGCTGAACAGATCGCAGCTGCGAGCTGGGTGCATATACCCTGAGAGGCAGTGCGGTTTCAGAGCTGAAAGATTAAAGATCGACATTATCTTCTCCATTGTCTTCGACTTACGGCAGCTCCAGGAGAAGTGCCGAGAGCAGCGACGACCGATGTACTGACCGCCGGCCTTGCCGATGAAGGCCTTCGACCTTCGTCAGTAGAAAAGGCCTCTTCAGGCTACTGCAGAAGATTGGATGTCTCCAAGTCATCAAAACATTCAACTCCATTACCTGATCAGCATCGGACATATGATGTGCACAACAGCTGAACACCCCCGAACACTGGATGTGATCTGTCCGGATCATCTCTAGCAACTGTCTGCAACGAGGTTAACACAAACTCGAGAGCAAATACCTTACCAGTTCGTTGATGCGTCACAAATACGGAGACAAATGGAGAAACCAACCCTCCCAATGAAGGCAAATAATGTTTCCGGAATCATCTGCCATGGTTCGATACACCTTATGGGTATACCAGCAGAATGACTGGCAACGTGAGAAGTTCCAAGTGGTCATTGTGCCAGGACCAGCTATCAATGGGCTCCCTACTAAACGAGCTGCACGTACCCTACGAGCCGCACCCTACACTTGGTCAAAACCTATAATGGCACACTGCCCCCAAAGCCTCAGGCCCCCAAAGGAACCAAAGGGCTGACCACTACCACTCCGGTGAGAGACATACAAGACCTGAAGGACCGGTTCCCAAAGCAGTTTGATACTTTCGACGACTTAGATACGCGCTCTCCTACACTTCCAGCCAGATACTCAGTCCCACATAAATCCGCCACATAGGTGCAACTTTCATGCCAAACCAAAACGGCAGGCCAAGCTGAAAAAGACTGAGAAAGGCTGGGTCATACGAAAAGTCTCCCATCACACGGACGGGTGCAGCTCTATCACAGCAACTGCCAAAAAAGACGGCCCGTTCAGGATGTGTCCGGATCCCAAGCAGCTAAACACATAATGTTTTCTAAAAATCCCCACTCTTGAGGAGCTCAAGCCAGAATTTACACTGGAAATGTTCTCCCCAAGCTAGACATCAAAAGCAGAGTATTGGTCTGCTCACCTAGGGCAGTCTGAAAAACTGACAACATACAATTTGGTTGTTAACAGCTTTCGTCGCCCATTCATCGGCTTATCAGTAAGCCAAGATAATGGTCCCAAAAAATATTGATGGCAAAATAAGCTAGATGCCTTGATGCATTGGAACAATCACCGTGACGACATTGCAGTATTCGGTCTCCCTTGAAGAGCATGACGAGCGGCCGAATGTCTCATCGCCCTGATGGAAACGGCTGGTTCCTTAGCATAGTCAACAATGTCTAACACTACACCCCAAATTGCGCAGAAAAAGTTGCTCCCTTCAGCGATCTTCTTCGAAAAGATGTACCATTTCTCTGGGAAGAGGACCATCAAGCTTCTTTTACAACCCTTAAACACTCCATCTGAACTCAGTCCTGGCTACGATTCTCCAACACACAGGTATAGAAACAATCCTCAAAGTAGATACATCTGAAAGAGGATTGGGCAACACCCAGGAAGGTAAACCCATCGCATTTTCCTCAAAGAGCCTATAGATCCTCTTCCCAGAGCATATTCTCGAATATCGAGAGGGAAGCTGTGGCACTGCTGCAACTTCATTCGGCTCCAACTTCATTGTTGTCACTGACCATTAAAACCATTGGTTACGATCTGGCGCAAAATCCTAGCCAGTACACCACACCGCTTGCAGCGTCTTAAGCTACAAGGATACAACTTCGACGATGTCTACAAACCTGGTGCTATGATGGTGATCGCAGATGCACCCGGCAGATTGCCCAACCCCTCCAAGCTCGACAACGAGACATGTGATGAATCTGTAACTGAGATCCACTGGAATGGGCACCCGACTGTAACTTATGTTACATTTTTTTGTCCACCTATCTTTGGAATAAGTTTAAACATTTAAGATACCAATAATCAATTACGAAAACTCTCTTGGCATAGTATTTGAACCATTCTCTCTGACTTAAGAACCAAAACTCACAATACCACTTACGGTTTGCATGTTAAAACAAGGTGCCAAAATGATTACCCCAAATCTATGATTTAAGCACCAATTTTGTTTTTGTTTTACCAAAAAGGGTACTTTTGGGCAAAAAACCCACCCTGTACTACATTCCATCCCACTGACATACCACTCAAATGAAAGATCTTGTTGTTCCCTTTAATTTGATACCACATTTGTTGTTGTAATGCTTGTCGTTCTGAAGATATTATCAATTTATATGTTTTTCAAGTGTAAGCATTTAAGATACTAATAATCAATTACAAAAAATAATAATCAATTGCAAAAACTCTTTTGGCATAGAATTTGAACCTTTTTCTCTGACTTCAAAACAAAATCTCACAATAACACATACGGTTTGCATGTTAAACAAGGTGCCAAACAAAAATACATGAATTTAGCCAAAAATCAGGGTTTTTTGACCAAAAAAGTGCTTTTTGGCCCCAAAAACCGCCCTTTACTACATTCCACACCCCTGACATACCACTCAAATGAAAGATCTTGTTGTTCCCTTTCATTTGATGCGACTTTAGTTGTTGTGATGGTTGTAGTTCAGAAGATATTATCAATTTATATATATTTCATGTAATAATTAGCTGATGACGTCATAATGACGTCATACATGCCCTTCCCATCATCCAATTTTTTGCGTCCGTCTTTTTTTCGATAAGGTATACCATGGAGATGCTTTGGTGAAAAAATGGTGCTTTTGTCCACCGTGTCACGATCCTTGGCATTTTTGTCACTAAGGTACCTCACTAGATTATTCAGTGCACACTTCACTCTGTTAAGTCTCTGACAATAACCGATTCAACATCACGACAACGACCCACTTCTTGCCCTACCCCCTACTCCTTCCCGGATACTTTCTGTTAGCAAACAGTTGATGTATCGCTGCGGTACTTTTGGAAAGCAATAACCCATGACTGAAACTGTGCTTGTTAAGTGCCGGTCACAGATCAAATGCGGCTCAAAATCGAACTTTGTCACCGTATCATCAGTTACAGCGATTTAAGCAAGGGCAGATAAACCTGCACTTTTATCAGGCCAGGTATTTAGTTTTGTCACACCGACTGTATCCTGCACCGCAAAACAATTTGGAGCATTTTAAAGACCAGTAACTGCGTGATATGTGACTTGAATTTATTTGACTTGTGATGGAGCTCTCCGTTGCTAGTTTTCTGCAGCGACAGCCTGGATATTCAATTTTGTTTCACCGACCGGACCTAGCACAGAAAAGAGTTTAATGCATTTTAATAATCGTAAACTGTTGAACGTGTGCTAGAGTTTTCTGTTGCTATGGTCCTTGAATGCGGGTAAAGCGTATTTCAAGTTTGGATACATTGATGTTACTTGTGATAGTCAAGTGTCTGGAGTGCAAACACAAGTAGAATCTATATGGCAGCGCGTGGGAAGGACAGTTCGCTTACGCCAAGTACACATGCAAACAAGTTTGCTTATTGAAAACTGCAAGAGGCATGGACATTAAGTTCTTGGTCAATTTCTGCAGTCAACAAAAAAACCAGCAGTTTCTATTAAAGGATTTCACAATGATGTGTTTGCAACTTGCTCTTTTGAATAATGTAACTTGACTTGGATGAGTATTTAACTGTAAAATCTTAAACTTAGGTGGTTTGTACAATGGAGGACGGGAAAGTGAACATGTCGACGCCTGTAACAACAGTAGAGATACTGCCAGATGATCTACCTGCGCTGATTGCAATGACAGTGTACATGGGACTGTTGTCTGTCACAGGCCTCGTCGGAAACGTCCTGGTCATCATTTCTGTGGCCTTGACACCCCGCTTGCGCACAGCTCCCTACGTTTTCATAGTTAACTTGAGCATAGCGGATCTGGCCGTGAACGTTGTTGTGATACCCCTGATTGCCATCTCGTTCTTCAACTACGGCTGGCCCTACGAGCCCTCCTGGTGCTGCGTTGTGGCCAACATGTTCTTCCTCACCCTGGGAAGCTCCCTGATCACCCTGACGATGGTCGCTGCCAATAGGTACAGTCTGGTGTCCTGCTCCAGGATATCCTACCGCAGGTACTGCGGCTGGCAAGGCACCACGTTTGTCCTCCTCTTCAACTGGTTTGGTGGCATCTTGCTGATCGTGTTGGCAAAAGTCACAGGAATTTCCACGGTGCACTACAACCCAAACACCCGTTTCTGCTACCTTGACAGCAGTGTGCCCAAAACGTACTGGTACACATCGGGCGTGCTGATCTACTTTGCTCTGATGTGTTTCTTGCTCATCCCAATCCTGTACTGTAAGACATTCCGCACGCTGCGTGCCAGCCAGAGGCGGGCACATTCCTGGGCTACGCAGACTACAACGCGAAGCATCGACTCCGTAAAACCCAGAAGAAATGGCTTGCATCCAGCTGAAATCAAACTCACGAAACTGATGGCTGTGATTTTCATTGTGATCATCATATGCTGGACACCGGTGTGGATAACAAACTTCTTCAAGCTAAATTATAATATTCCCGAAGTCGTCGAGCGAGTTGGAATAATGCTTGTGCTGACTAACTCCTCAATCAACCCATACCTCTACGCTTGGCTCAATAAGAACTTCCTGCAAGCGTACAAGAGGATTTTACGCTGTGGGCGAAACCCTAGGGTTCATAATTTGCAAGTTATTG